TTATTATTAATTACTATTACTATTACTATTACTATTGTCATTCGCATAACTTCAATATTTTCAAATAAGGGAAATATTTAAATTTTATAACTCACATAATATACTTAATAATTATAATTTAATAATTATAATAAATGGAAAATGAAATTAACTATATAATATTGAATTCTTTTTTTATTTAAATTTTTGCTTTAACTTATATAATCCAATTTTTTTATCTTTCAACAATTTTTTATGGGTCTAAATTAATTTTCAACAAAACTATTTTCAGAATTTTTAGAATTCTTCCATTAATGATTCACATCCATTCTCATTATTCGTTTTCAACTATTTAATTATCATTCTCTTATAGTATGCAAATTAATTTCTTCCATTTTATCGGTTGGTTATATCTCTCAGCAATTCCTTTAATTGAATCCTTCCAATTTTATCTTTCTACTTAAAATTGAATACATTTTATGGGAATGTAAAAGTACTTATGAATTGTTTGGGTAATTCATTGCTTCTGTTTTAGTCGGCTGTCTTCATCTCTTAAATGATATAAATTGATTTGTAAAATTCTCTCAATTGTTAAATTTTTTTTGTAATGAAATGCCGACTAAACATTTTTTTATAATTATTCTTATTACAAATTAAGCATTCTATCGTTAAAGCTCTACGAAATAATATATCTGTAAATGAAAATATTATTATTATTATTATTATTATTATTATTATTATTATTATTATTATTATTATTATTATTATCCGTTATTAACATAATTAAATACGTATAAAGTTAAAATTAATGAAATAAAATTTTAAATTATTGCACTAATCAAACTTATCCATTAAAAAAATATTTACATATGAAATTTGTTAATTGTTTATTTTAAATAATTTACGAATAAAAACAAAGAAAAGAATAATCTAAAAATAATAACGGAAATGAATGATCGATTTCGAATATAAAGTAATTCGATACAGCAAAAAAAAAATAATAAAGTGCAGCAAATACGATCATATCCCATATAAAAGTTTTGATACAAAGAGGTTATTGTAGTGGTCAAAGGATCAGATTACTTTTTGTTTTGATTTAAGGGACCATTTTATAGACACACTTATTCAACTAATGACTCACTTATTCAACTTTCCTATTTATACATATATGTACTCTCGATTAAATTGCTCGCAAATAGCCAATGGTCATTTTATTAAATATTATTTAATTTTATATATTTGAATAATACAGTTAATAAAAGGTTATAAAGTGAAATTTATTTCCAACAATTTCATCTATTAATTAATTACATCTATTAATTAACTTGATTGCGAATTATAGTAAATTATTTTCTTATTTTTGCAAACATTTGTAACAATGTAATTTATTTTAAATAATAATGAATAATCAAAATTGTGCGATCTTGTTGTTTATTAATTGCAAATATAAATTAAAATTACGAATTATCTCTTTCTTCTTTCTCTCTCTCTCTCTCTCTCTCTCTCTCTTCTACATTTATCACCTAATTTAATTTTTTTATATTTCAATTTAATAATATGTTGAAATACTGGTACATAAATACTAAAATATTAAATGTATGTAAACGAGTTCTGCTATACTACATACCGTCTAATTGACAGCTTAACCATCTAATCTCATTTTATATTTCAACATTTTAGTAATTTTATGTAAACATATGTTTCAACATATTATTGAATTACTGAAATATGAAATTAAATTAGGCATTCAAATATATCTTATTGCATTCAGCAATTTTCGCCTTTGTTTTCTTCCATTAAACGGAAAATTTTTAGGAATTTTGAAATATAAAAATAATTAAATTAATAAATCATTGGATAGAGAGAGGTTCTTAATAGTGATATGATAAGTTATTCACCTGATAATTTATGATAATTTCTCGTTCTAAACTTAGCGATGAAAAAAATAGAACGAAATGAGGGAGCATTTTTAATTACATTTAAGTTATTAAAATTGAAAAAATTGCTTTATAAACATTAAAACGAAAAAATGATGATAAATAAAGATGATTATTTTTTCCCCGCAAATTAATTAACATTTTAGGAAATAGCAATTACATATTTTCTGCAATAGAAATGCATGCAAAATGCATGTTAATCAAAAGACACGCATAGCGTGCAGGAAATGAAAAAAGTATGAATTGATTTAAATTAAGAAAAGTATATGAAAAAGTTAATCAACAATGAGATATGCATAATTATTGTTATTTAAAAATAAACGATTTATTGACAGCGTTTATCAAAAAAAAAAAAAATTGTGTGTTAAAAATGAATTCATTAATAAAACTTATGCCAATAAAACAAAAGTGTGTTAATTAAAAATAAATGAAACTAGCAAAGGAGCTTCCATAAAAATAAAATAGAAATTAAATGTGTGCTTAGGGGTGGTGTAAAACAATATTAAAAAATGAACTAAAAGGCTTTCAAGGTTAAATAAAAGCATGCAAATGTAATTTAATAATAAAATGCATGCAAGTAAAGTAAATAAAAAGCATGCAAAAATTGAAAGATAAAATATATAAATAAAATGAGTAAAAAGTAAATAATGATAATATATGCAAATAAAGTTAATAAAAAGCAATGCAAATGAATAATAGAATGCATGCGAATAAAAATAAGTAAAATGCATGCAAAAGTATGTTAACAATAAAATATATACAAATGAAAAAGCATGCAAAATGCAAGATAAATGAAATGTAAGTTATATAAAGCGAAATGTAAGTTACATAAAGTGACAAAAAAAGCATGCAAAAGGTTCATTCAAAATAAAGAAAATATAAAAGCATTGAAATTAAGCATGAATTTCAAAATGCATGAAATATGCATGAATTTCAAAATGTGTGCAAATTAAGACAACGATGAAAATAGAAGATATCATTGAGAAAGTGTTGTATATTTGAAATAGTTACATCTGGCAATTTGAAACCATTCTAAATTTGCAAATTGAAAATTTCAAGAATCTAAAGGTATCCTAATTTTTATGAGCAAAAGTTCGAGTAAATTTTAGAAGCTCAAGGAAGCAAAATTTAATAATCCAAAGTGTTGGAAAGGTTCGAAATATTTCAATGATTAAAGATATTAAATTAAGATCAAAATTTTCATTTCTTAAAATTTCATTCCTTTTAAAATCATTTCTACCTACCAGCTTGAGCCTTCGACGTTTTTCAACCTTTTCACTCACATAAGCCTTTATCGCCTTAGGGTACCATTCCAATGAATGGAAGAGTTTCATCATCCCCACAATTTTCTTTTCCCATTTTTTCTTAATTACATTCAACTTATTTCATCTTCCATTCGAAAGCATGTCAATTTCATACAAGTATATATCTCAGAACTTCGCTAAATAGTCGTTTATTCGATGGTATTAATTACAGCTTTATTGATTTTAAAAATTGTTATCTATAAGCCAGGGTAAATATAGAAGCAAAAAATATATTGTGAATATATTGATTTCTATTCTGGAAGCACAAATACCAACCATATTGGAATGCTTTTTAGATAAGTAATAAGTTTGTAGTTCATTAATTACTTCTTTCTTTTCAGGTAATTTTGAGATAGCGGAATTTTGCAGTTCAGGAGAACATATCAGCATGTTACTGTTAATGACTTGGTGTTGTTATCATGTAGATAGTAATTAATGAGGAATCATGACCAAAGGCATAACTGAAGATAATGCAAGTATCAGTGATATAACCAGATAGTGTCATTTTTAGGTTATTTTTTTTTCACACAAAATCTTTTTTGGCCAAAAAATTTCTTTCAGACTTTGTCCCTTTTAAATTTAAATTTAGAATATTTCAAATTTAAATAACCTATTAAATTTGAAATAATCCAAATTTAAATTATTAAATTTTTTTCCTATTAAAAACGGAAAAACTAGCAAGTAAAACGGAAGGAAGAAAATAAGAACTTGGAAAAATGGTACTTCGAAAATGTTTTTTTAATATAACTTTGAATGTCGCAAAGATATTTTATTCAATAGATACTCAAATACTTAAATATGCGAAATGTTTTTAATTATTTAAATTTATCACTCAAAAAAATATCAATCAGAGCAGAAGCAATTTTTTGCATCTTTTTTAAGGCCTTTTAAATTTAGTTATTTTATCTTAAAGTGTTTGATTTAAATTTATCACAAAAACCACTATCAGTTGCATGACGATGGTATCAACCAAAAAATCGGCACAAATACAATCAATTGTTTGTTTGCTTTGTTAATATTATGAAATGTTTCCGAAATTAAAAGTAGCAAATAAAACTGTCAACAAAAATTCAAAAGAATTTGAGCATTAATGTATATTTGATAGATTTCAACGATCAATTGGAATTTATGGCACATTTGCATAGAGTAAAGATTTATTAATAACTTTAAAAGAGAAATGAAATTGAATTGAAATTCATAATTTATTTATTTACTATTTATTCTATAAACTTTTTCGGGTTTTCATTTTTGCTTCTGTAATTCAGAAGATTATTTGAAAATTTCAACTGTCACTACTAACTTCATGGAAAAGTCTCTTCTTTAATTTATATATTATCATTTCCAGAGGTGTTTGCAGCGATGAAAAGTGAGCTAATTCCATCATTCACGTTACTATGTGTATTTTCGATGCTCGTCATGTTAGTGTTATCGGATTTGCCGCAGGAAACTCTTCCGGTAATTTTCATGAATCGTTGCCGTTTTGATGATCCCACTGAAAGAGATAAAAACGATGAATAGAAAATAAAATTCTGTTCAAGGTTAATGGGAGCAACCCAGATAATAACATTTCGGACAATAGTAGTTCGAATGGTAGCAGTTCGGACGATGATAGTTCGGATGATAGCAGTTCGGACGATAGTAGTGGCACCATTTATATGCGCAACGTTTCAAGCAATAACTTATTGTATCATAGAATTGTGGATCAAATTATGGAAAACTTGTCGGATGTTAACTATTGGTACAATCGTTGGTATGCTGGGGAGAATTCAGATGATAATATTTCGGACAATGATGCATTTGTAGAACGATAGAACGATAGTATATTTGTTTTGAATAATAATAATTAGTTAAATGATTAATGTTGCAAAAATTCAGAAAACATTAATTAGTCTTTAGCATTAAATTATTTATCAAAATTATTGTAAGGAAAAATTTTATGTTATTTTCGTTTAAAAATAAATTCATTGGCATTATTTACTTGACAGTCAGCTGATATTTATTTTGAATAATAACTAAAGCGATCAATGTTGTAAACAAAAAACTCAGGAACGCGAAATAGTTTTATGGCTGATGAAATGATATTAGTCAAGAAATTCTATTTTAATCATTCTCTGTGTTTTAATTTCATGGACTGATTCTTCCGGCTTTCTATTACTATTCATCTCCATTTGTATCACCGATATATCAGGTTTTTCTCAACATGTGACAATGAGGCTCATTTTGCTATGACCAATTTGACCTCTCGTTATTTTCAGACAGAGGTGGGCCCCACTTTGTCTCTTCTTTTTCATATCCCGGCTTATGAGATACCGGTTCCTCATCCTTTTCTTTGTCCTTCGAGTTCCTCTCCGTTTCTCCCGCGAGAATTTGCAACATAATTCAAATTAAAAGGACTACATTTTAACAGTGTCATCTTAAATTCGAGACGCTTCCTATTTCTTAATTTATGGCAAAAGGAAGGAATAGAAGACAAAATAATTAGCTAAAATAACGCCAATTCATTTAAAATTACTTGCTATACATGCCAGCATCAGATATTGCATTCTTTTTCTAATCTTATTCCTACTCTAAACAAAAATTCAACAATTCAACATTTCAACATTTAACAAATTCAACATTTCAACATTCAACAAATTCAACATTTCATCAAACCCAATTCAAAAAAAACGACGAAAGTCAAAGTTCATGAGAGAAAATTTCGGCAATGGTTTTATTGAGATGGTAATGGTAACAAATGACTTCTAAATTTAAAATTTTGATAACAGTTCATTTTCAGATTTCTTGCGTAATACATTTTTATGTTCACTGAAATATGTTTACACTGCCATTGCATAATTACACGTTTCTTTTAACGATTTCCTTTTTGGTAGGTTTTGTTGTACATAGAAGAATAAATCATTCGTGGAAAGGTTTATCCGAGTGATATCGTTCGTCGATTGATACAATTGTTTGTAAGATTCGATTTGATTCTTCTTGGTAATGCAGTGGTGGTTTCATCATCATCGAGTTTCATCATCTTAATATCAACGACCGATTCGTCTCTGTTAAATTTATAAGGTCTCAAAGAGTAAATATAACACTTAAAAAATATAAAACAATATAAGCGTTGCTAAAAATTTGACAGAGTTCGTCGTTAAAAATACGAATTTCACTTTTTACTATAACCCTAAAAAATATGATTTTTTACCTTATATTAAAATTGAAATAAAATTGACCTGAAATTTATAATATATTTGTTGTGCACCCACAAATTTATTCAATCCTCATTTTTGTATCTGAAATCCTTTTAACAATCTCACTTTACCATTTCTTCCATATGAAAATAATTTCAATATTAAATCTGATCGAACTGATTAATTGACAAAAAATGAAACTAAAAAATTGTCTTTTGCCTAGAACAAAAAAATTTCTATAGCATGTTAACGTGGATGGAAATTTGTTCAGATGGAAAAAAACGGAATTATCAAAAATTTAACTTATCATGAATGCCGAAATATTCAACATTAATCTTTTATCATTCAAGTAATTGATCGAATATAAAATTGATTTTTACTTGCTTTAATTTAATTAATGCACTGATATACTTCGATTGATATGATTAATTGTTTGCTTTGTTAATATTATGAAACATTTTAAATTTAGCATATCATAAATGCCGAAATATTCAGCATTTATCTTTTATCATTCAAGTAATTGATTGAATATAAAATTGATTTATACTCGTCCCAATTTAATTAATGCACTGATATACTTCGATTGATATGATTAATTGTTTATGTGCTTTGTTAATATTATGAAATATATTCGGAATCAAAAGTAATGAATAAAACTCCCTAACAAAAATTCAAAAGAATTTGAGCATTAGTGCATAATTAATAGATTTCATCGATCAATTGAAGTTTATGGCACATTTGCATAGAGTAAAGATTTATTATTAACTTTAAAAGAGAAATGAAATTGAATTGAAATTCATAATTTATTTGTTCTACAAACTTTTTCGGTTTTCATTTTTGCTTTTGTAATTCAGAAGATTATTTGAAAATTTCAACTGTCACTACTAACATCATGGAAAAGTCTCTTATTTAATTTATATATTATCATTTCCAGAGGTGTTTGCAGCGATGAAAAGTGAACTAATTCCATCCTTCACGTTACTATGTGTATTTTCGATGCTCGTCATGTTGGTGTTATCGGATTTGCCGCAGAAAATTATTTCGGTAATTTTTATTGAGTTGTTAATGATGCGATGATTTCATTGAGAGAGATAAAAAAGATAAGTGGAAAATAAAATTCCGTTCAAGGTTAATGGAAGCAATCCAGATGATAACACTTCGGACGATAGAAGTTCGGACGATAACAGTGGGGGTGATAATGATTGGGACGATGGCAGTTCGGATGATAGTAGCATTGAAGTGTTAGCCATTTGGAACAATGAGTTTTTAAACGGTAGAATTGTGAACCGAATTAGGGAAAGCTTTTTGAACAATGACAGCTTGTATGATAGCAGTTCGGATGATGATGATGCATTTGTAGAACGATAGAATGATAACATATTTGTTTTGAATAATAATAATAATAAGTTAAATGATTAATGTTGCAAAAATTCAGAAAACATTAATTAGTCTTTAGCATTAAATTATTTGTCAAAATTATTGTAAGGGAAAATTTTATGTTATTTTCGTTTAAAAATAAATTCGTTGCCATTATTTACCTGACAGTCAGCTGATATTTATTGTGAATAATAACTAAAGCGATCAATGTTGTAAACATAAAACTCAGAAAGCACTAATGGTCTTCAACATGAAATTATTTGACAAAATTATTGTGGAAAAAGAGTTTTAAATCATATGATTAAACAACGAGGTAGTTTTTTAAATAATTAACTGCCGTATTTATTTATTAATTAGCATATTATTGATGACAAATATGTGTAATTGGATCTGTTTTAAATTAAAAATATTTTAATGGAAATATATAATCAAATGATTTGAATAAAATTGATTTAAATCTCTGAGAGTATTAATAAAGAAATGGAGAAGATAGAAAACATTTAGTGTAAATCGAATTTAAATCTACGACAATAATTGAAAGGGCTATCAATAATATCAGCACGGATCATTTCATATTTCATAATAATTTTGTCAATATGAAACTTTCAAAAATGGAACTAATTATTTGAATAATATTATTATTTAAATAGATTATGATAATAACAAAATTTCAATAAGCATTTTGAATTACAAAAATAACTTTTAGGAAATTAAATAAAGTTTAAAATGTTTCAATTTTTTCCTCTTCTTGCAACTTTTTCAACTAATCTATAATCTTACTTTTCCTCTGATGAATTATTACTTACTACTTTGTTTAGTTTGAGCACATCCATCGAATAGAATTTGAAGATTTTAAAATGAGGGAGTAATTAGAAAGGCTAATCCTGAAAAGGTTAACCATTTGGTTTATGTAAGTGCTGATCCGTATTCTTTAAAGATGATTTGGTTTAAGTAAGTGTTGAACCGTATTCTTCAAAGACGAAATATGAATGAGAGAAGTGCAATTTAAGTAAAGCATCTATTTCAATAACATTTACATAAAGTAAAAGTACTTTAGGTAAATATGAATGTATTCCTCAAAGCATCACTTATGCTACAAACAATTGCGTATTACACGTAATGCAAAATGATGAAAATAGTGGAAAGCGTATCACTAACTGAATATAGTGTAATTTTACGTTAAGTTACGTGATAAATTATATAATCATTTTTCTCAAAAAATAAATGATTAATAAATCTTATGGTAGTGAGACGTCGATAATTTCAAAGACGTAGTTGCACAGAAGAATGAAAGAGACATTTGATTAATCAATTGTTAAGCTATTGCTTTGTGCAACCAACGGTGGTTGTCCGGAATTCAAATTTCTGTTTGTTTTTCTTTTGGAATTGGATTTGTAGATTTTGATAAATCTACTTCTTAAATTCTGAAATTCCACTTAAATTTAATCGTTGAATAATTTCGGTTTATCTTCATTTCCCTGATCGTAGTAAATTTTATCATCTATATGTTCATTTTGTCATCATTTCTTCATTTAAGAATGGTTGAAATATACTTCTTTATAATTGTTGTTGTATATGCACGTGCTATTTTACGTCTCTGCTCACGTGTGCATACGTGCATACGTGTTACATGGATGCGTAAGCGATAAAACAATAAAAAAGTAGTTCAATTTCTTTTTAAGGAGAAACGTTAAAATAAAGAGCTGAGAGATTGCACAATTTATAATTTATCACTGAGAGAAATTTTTTAAAAAATGAACATAAAGATATGAAAATTGTAATAGATAAAGAAATAAAAAGAAATGTTAAATGAGAAATTTCAGTGTAGAAATAATTATTTTTATACTGGAAGGCGATTTACTCTTTTGCTATACCATTGGGCTAAGTTAGCTTAAGCGGCATTTATTTTAGTTATGCTTGTTCGTAGACTAGTGGTTCTAAATTACTTTTCCGAATTTCTATTGCTTCGTCGTTTCCAGTTTATAGTATCATCGACTGTCGCTCTGAATGGTTTAGTTCATATAGTTTCTAAAGCAATAATGTCAGGAAGGAATTTCACGGAATTTGGCATCGATGTTAAAGGTAACATTTGCCTTTATAGTTTTCATTTTTAATTAAAACTCGAAATTTCGTGTCCTCAATAAAACCCGTAAATTTTGAAAGTCTTCCGAGTAGTGCAGCCTTAATTATTTTTGTTGACAAACTTTACAGAAATCTACAAATATCACATATTATTTTCCTACTTCCGAGGATTTTTGATGTTGTATGTTGCATATTAATTTTCAAACGAACACGTCAATATAATTTTCTGGAATTTTAGTTATATATTCTTTTCTTTCAGATTTACGAAAGCCCTACTATAATAAAGAAGAACCGTTCCTGCTGGAGGAAAATTTGCCATCAAAAAATCCATTTGAACTTTTTGATATGTGGTTCAGAAATGTTGCAAAAAATAAGGATGTGACATTCGAGGAAGTTAATGCCGCTTGCCTTTCAACCGTAAGACATTTTCCGGTTATTTATTTTAACGTATGAGGTATTTTATATCGTTTCCAATCGTGAATCATTTTTTGACAGCAATTTGTAGATGAGAGCTTGAAATTTTGAAGCTTGAAATTTTTGTCGTGAACTTTTCTTTCAACCATAAAATATATTTCTTTTATGTTTTCTATTGCTTATAGTACATCACTGGAGGAAAAGTTGGTCAATTTTACAGGTGATTAATAATCAACCGAAATCACGAATGGTTTTAATGAAAGAATATGACAGGGAAGGTTTTTGCTTCTATACACATTATAGTAGTGCCAAAGGAATGCAAATCGATAAAAATCCCCATGCATGCATGCTGTTTTACTGGCCTAGTGTTGATAGACAAGTGAGCAATTTCATCATACGGAATTCTATACATCTTTAGGAAGCGCTTGATGTTAAGGCTGGAATGTTCATACAGTTGAGAGCTTGAGAGCTTGGTATGATAATTTCTTTCAGGAAGTTTGTCCCCAGAAAGTATGTTATGCTGAGTGATCGTAGTTTTAGTGACCTGCAATTTATATATCTCGCTGTTTGTTTTCAATTATTACTAGTGCTAATTAACTTAGTTGCAAATTTTGCTTGAAATTATTATAATCACAACTATACTTTTCGATAATTTATGAAAGAATAAGTTTTAGATTCGAATAGAGGGCAAACTTGTGAAATTGCCTGTTGAGGCAGCAGAAATTTATTGGTATCATCGGCCGTTAAAAAGTCGTATTGGTTCAAAACTCAGCGAACAAAGTAAAATTATTCCAAATAGACAGGTTAGATCTTTTTTGTGGAACATTTCAAAGCCAATCCATCTGTAGTGCTTTTTACACGATAAAGAATGACAGGGCAAACTGTAATGTACAAATTAAAATACTAAAAAATTTTTTCTTGTATTCACCATAATGGTGAAATATTGTCTGGCTCGCAACGTTGAAATCCACTCATATAATTTATATTACTTGCTGAATGGCATAATTAACTGTAAATAATATAGGAGAATGATGAAATTGGTTATGCTCAAATGATGACCATTCCGTATTCTAAATTATTCTTTGCATTTATTTGAAATCAAATTTATGACGTTAGTTCGACTATTCCAAATGCAAAACTAGTTTCGAAAACTCGAATGCATAGCCAATTCGGTTTAAGTCGAATTAATTTTTCAGTTTCTTTGTTTAATTAAATATTATTTGGTTTCATTTTAACATATCAGCGATTACTTTCTGCAGTATTTGGAAGATAAGAAAGAAGAGTTGGAGAAACTTGTCGCTGAAAAAGGTGAAAAAACAATCACTAGACCGGAAGATTGGCAAGAATTTACTTCATTTAAAATTTCATTTGATATTTCATTAACATAGTTAGTCTTTTGCTCTTTTTATACATTATCTAGAAACTCAGTGAAGCGATATAATCATACTGTGTCATTCAACGATATAATCATAATAAGTGGATGACGGATGTTGCAGGGGTGGTTATAGATTGCTTCCGTCATATTTCGAATTTTGGCAAGGTCAGTCTGATCGGATACACGATCGTATTGCTTTTGAAAAAAGAACGGATGTAACAGAGTGGTTGATTAAACGTCTTTCACCATGAAAATCACTTTCAAACATCTTTGTAAATCAGTTCATTGTTTGTGGAATTCCTTCGTATAATAGCTGTTGGAATTCCTTCATATAATAGCAGTAAATAGCTGTTTAAATGTCGTAATAGTTTATAAATTCCGGAACTCTAACGAGATTCCAACAAGATTCTCTATTGACATATCATAAAAAAACAAAAAATATGATGTTCTTTTGCTTGTCTTAATCGAGTTTATAATTGACAGTTTCTATTTGGTCTCAATGACATTATCCGCTCATTTCGATTTTTATTCAGGAATAGTGGATTTAAGATTATGAAGTGTTAATTAAATATAGAATTTTGTAACAGAAATTTCTTTTGAAATGAAATAATTCGAGCTTTACTTCCTCAGAAATTTCTCAATTTGAATATTTTCATAAAATTCAATCACAATTGTTGTAATTGAAAAAAAAGTTGTATGAAATTAGAACAAAAAGTAACTTAGTTTCAACTTCCTAAAAATTTCGCTGAAAAAAGTTCGTAATTATTGTTAAAATTTATAGTGATCGGAAGCGGTTGTTGTTACTGTTGTTAAAGCTATGAAAAGATAGGATCTTTGTTGAATTTAATGGAACATGCATAGCGAGTAAGTTTTGGTAAAAATAAAAATCAATTAATAATAATAATAATTTTTAACTAATTGATTTTTATAAAATCAATTAGTTAAAAATTATTATTATTTTCTAATATTTCTCTGTAGTTATTCTAATATTTCCCTGTTAAAGTGTAAAATATCTCCTCGATTTGCCCCAACTGTTATCAGTTATTGTTTTGTCTTCACCTATAAAAGTAATAGGTTTGATTTATTCAAAAAAATTTTTAAATTTCATTGAACCAAAAGATCTCGTTTTTTCATCATGCAGAATAATTCATAGAACAACTCATTGTCGTGATTTGCTGAATATTGTAATCTTTTGTTGAAGAAAAAGCAATTATAGCCGATATTGTGTTTGCAGAATTTGCGCAATATTTTTGGTGATAATTTCATTAATTATCGTAAAAGAATCATTTGCAGTGGTAAGAAAATATTAATTGCCTTTCGTTTCTATTAGCCAATTAAATCCCACAGGAAATTAAATAGCACGGACGTGAGGTTCACGTGAAATGATAACACGTTTTATATACGTCTCAATCACAGACTTTCAATTGCGCATAATAGTTAATAAATCATTTCAGTTATACGATCGTTCAATTGACTTAAAAGTTTCACCCGATGAATTTTTTCTGTTGTTCCTTAAGAAATGATAGAAAAATCACTCTATTTTGATTAATTTTGCAATTTCTGATAATTTAAATCAAAATTAAAGAACTGATAAGTTTGAATAAAACTTTATGTTGTAAATAATTGATAGGTATTTGGAAAATATCCAATTGGGATTGCTAAACTAAACTGTAAATGATAAAAACCTTCATCCAAAATTTGCAATCATTTTATTTCATTCTTCCTTCAGTTCAAATATTATAAGCAATTGTTGAATATGAAAGATGTATTGCTACAGTTAAATTCAAATATGTTTTATAATATCGAAATCGAAATTTTGTTTCCATATGATACTAAGCAATGCAAGGGGTTCGAATTTCTTATTTGAAAAGATTAAGTAAATAATTGAATTTGTAAAAGAGTTATAAGGATGTTTCACTACCCCATCAAGGTGTGCAACAATTTTGAAAGCGTATAGAAGTGTAAAATGAGGAAAAATCTATCCACATAGGAAATTTCAGCTTTTTGGAAATCTTACTCAAATGACCTTTTAAGCTTGTCATTTAATTATCAATTGAACTAAGATCCTTAATGGTATTTAGAAATTAAATCATTTCTTAATTTATTGAAAATGATTACCATAATCTCACTTTGGCTCTATACAAGAATCAATTTTATGATATTGAGAAAGTATTGATTCTAATTATTGTTTTAGGCTTCACATAACAATATTCGATCAACAGTGGAAATATTCATATAAATTTAAATTTGACATGAAAAATCGAAAGTGGTGGGCAATATTCTATAGCCAAAGTTTGCATTATTTCTGAATACAATTCAGCATATTACTAAATTTTCTTGACGAAAACTTTATTTCAAAAAAAATTTTAACTATTTCAAATTTTTTGCTTGAAAGTTTAATCTGACAGCTGTTTAAGTTTGAATATTTTTCGATCTTTTTCCAGTTATCACAAAGTTTTTCTTTATATTTCTTATAGTTTCATTTCTATCTCATATTATCATTTGTCATAAGATCCATCTTTTTCTTTATATTTCTTTTGCTTTATATTATATGGTTTTTCTTTATATTTCTTATAGCTTCATTTCTATCTCATATTATCATCTGCCATAAGATCCTGTAAGCATCGATTAACTTATTCAATAATATCAGTTGAAACTTTCCTTACACCTTTTTATCGTGTCATTTCAGACGAAATTCGATATGTCGTTGGTGATTACCAATATGAAAATCGATTTAAATGGTTATTTAGTATGAGTAATTGGAAAGCTGAGATTGAATGGAATGATGGAAAAGTTGCATTCCTTAATATTCATGATACTATTGGTACTATGTTGTAGAAAGAATGATAATTTTAATGATAACTGCGTCTTTGATAAAAAGAACGGAAAAAGAGAAGCAAAAAAATTATGATATTTAGTTTCTCAAAGCTTTGAAAAATTGATAAATTTTTAAATTTTGTTAATTATTTAATTTTTAAATTTAATTAACTGATAAATTTTGTTGATAAATTGATAATTGATAATTTTGTTGATAAATTGATAAACAAATTAATTAAGTAACAAAAAAGATGTACTTCAGATAACCTATTCATTGCTTTGTTTACAACATTATAGTAATTGTTTACCAGAAATGATTAAATTTTCTTTGGTCATTATTCTATGCTACGTAGATGATAAATAGATTAGAATTAATATAAATCATTTCAGAAATTAAATTGAGTTTTAATTGTTCTATTTTTTTACAGAAAAGGAAGGACTTACTTCGATAATAGTTCAAGAAAGCTGTAAACTTGATCGAATAATGATCAAAGAATACTTCAACAGTTTGTTTTTTAATTCTTTAAATAAACTTTTAAATTGATGAACAGTAGGAATACTGCTAGAATGTTGAAAGGTTAAATATGAAAGGTTATCTTTGTTTTAGAACAGTCTGAAATGGATGGAAAGGTATTTCGATATTCAAGAAAACTGAAAGAATCAGTTGCAAAGATAATATCCGATGAGACGATGAAATTTGCTGGAAATGCTAATGCTTCAAAAAAAGAAGTGGAAACCATTGCAGAATATTGTATGTCATTCATCATCATACCAATTATTGACAAAAATTTGTAGTAAATGTGAAGAAAAGAATTTCATCATTTCCTATTCTTTGTTTTTATTTTCACAATTAATTTAATTACAGATGATATTTTAAGAATGAGCAAAATTAAATTTGATTATGGCAATTTACAGTAAACTAAATGTTTCGAAAATTAAAAAATTCCAATTATTTCTTATATTATGAGAACTTACATTGAATTACATCTGTGATTATGTTGCTGTCAAATAATTAACTTGCCAGTACTAGAATAACTCCAAAACAATTAAAAATAATCACTTAGCAAACTTTTCTCAAAGTTTCAAATTAACATTTGCTGATCATCTTTGAATATTATCAGAAGGAGACCGTAATCGAAAATTCACCGTATTTTACAGTGTTTTATAACGACAAACACCAATATACCGTGCTACATATATTCAATAAGGTACGAGGAAATATACAATTTTAAACTATAAATTTCGAAATTAACTTTTTAAATTTTCTAATGATAACGTAAATAACATAAATGCTATATGCGATCTGATGGAAACATTGAAATATCTTCGATGATTGCATTTTAATTTAATGAATAACTTGAAACCTTTGCTATTGAGAATTGTTAAAGATTATTGTTTGTTCACTTCAAGCAATCATCTGAGAAAATTCTTATTTTTATTCAAAACTGTTCAGATTGATTCAATTCTGATATTGGGAGCAGTATTGGCAATTATCATCAGTTGTATAATGGTTACAGTCGAAGTTCGATACTACAAACTATATCAAATGGTCAAAAACAAGCCCGTGAGATTAGTTTTAACTCAGCAATTTCTGGAAAAAATACAAATTGAGCGTTGCAACGCTAGGAAACGTGGTTTGTTGTTTAGCATATAACTTTAAAATATTTCAACAGAAAGTTTTCTCGGTATCATGACACCCATGCCACCTCGAAGTGCTAAATATGTTTTGCAAAAACGCGATCGAATGCGCGATCAAGCTTATCTATAATGATTTTGATATGGTTTAGTTTGATGTGAGTTAAGGCTGATAAGGAAGAATTTATTTGTCTGATTGATATTAGTTGATAGATCATTTGATGACATGTGTCGGAAATCCGAAATAACCTTATAATATAAATTGCTTACATAATTAAAGTGCTTTTGTTTTGTTGAAATTTATGCTGGTGAAATTATTTTAGCCAAAGGATAAGATATGACTGGTTCATGCATTTCATATATGATTCCAAGAATACCATCTATGATATCTATCAAATGACCAAATGATTCTTTCTTCTACCATCAATTTCATTTATGAAATAACCAGATAATTTTTTGTGCATTATTAATTTCATCAATTAAAGTACCATTACTTTTGTCTACAAAATGGCTGATTATCTAAATTGCTGCAAACAATACTGACATCGCTATAAATTCGACATCGACATTGCTATAAACAATACTGGCATCTAATGACATCGCGAATATTTGTCGAAGTCATAATTCTTTTTTTAATTCTGCGGTCTATTGATAGTTCGAATATAATTCCATTTTGCAAGTTATCATTTGGAAAAATTGAAATGATTTTGTATTTCAATTTTAATTCAAATTTGACAGATTAAATTTGGAGAGTGATAGAAAATGATATCATGCTTTGTGAAGTTTATTTTATGACAAGATATTCGTTGCTTAATTCAACTCCTAATTTAATTTTTTCCTTTTTAAATTTCTCTCCTTTGATTAAGATCGAAAAGTGCAACTTTTGATATTTGAAAAGTTGAAGAAAACCAAATTTCTTTCTTACAAAATAAAATACGCAATCAGACGACCATTCCGATTCAGTGATGATGAAATCTCTAAGTGTTTCTGAATTGTACCGTTCCGTATTTAGGATATTTCGAACACAAATCGAAAGATGATACTGGCATTCTTCAGGTTATATTACTACTATTAAATACATTGTTAAAAGAGAATTATGTACGAACAGAATGACTATTATTTGAAAGTATTAAAACTATGAAATGAAACAATTAGCTAAATGAGCCAATGATTCGATGAAAATTTTTGAAATGAAATCACTGAATTAATATTTGTTGACACTTTTTCGATGTTTGTTTTCTTCTTCGATAACGTTTATTTTTGATAATAATATATTTTATTGTAATAATTAATTTTATTGTAATAATTAAAGCTTTGTTTTATTTCTAAATTTTTTTATTGTGCTTCCTAAAAAATTTTTCAAATTTCATAATACTTCTTATATGCTTTAAATCTTAAATCAAATATTTTTAAAAAAGTATTAATCAAAATTATCAGTGCACCGAAATCCATTCCCTTAAAGGATATTTTAAATTTACTAAAAAAGAAGCGTTAAAATTTTGTTTGAGCAATAATTCTCGAAATGACGAGAAGTTTTAAATTCTGATAAATTGCCAATAAAAACTGCTTATTCCTTTTGTTCTTATTCTTTCAAGCGTTTTTCTTTTTGTGTTTGAAAAATGCGGAATTTATGAAATTGGGTTGTCAGAAGTGAAATATTTATTATACATGCAAGATGTATTCATACCAAAAAAACTGCTAACTGCTGCTAACCACATCATCACTAGTGTGATACATTGCGCATTTTCAACGATGCATTACATATCATGCATGTCAGCGTAATTTGCTAACTGGAATTATTTCAAAAAGATATTCCAATATTGAAATTAAAAGGAGATGAAATTACTCAAAACAAAAAGATACGAATTATACACGATGATAATGAATTACATTTTAATCACTTTACCTAGAGGTATTTCAAATATTTCAAATATATCTTTTTTGCTTACTCTTTTTTATCATATTTCATACTTTACTTAGTTTGTGCAATTTTCGGAGTGTAGAAAAAAGAATTGAACCAAGTTTAGTCTTGTTTTTGAAAGCCAAAAATTTAACTCATTTAACAAGTAGGGATTTTGAGACTAAAAATTGAATGTAAAATTTTTGCTCCAACTTTTTCTCCTCCACTTTTGCATTTCAGAATGATGCGCATTTCAGATAATTTGCAGAATGACGCATATTTTAGACGTTTTGCATAATGATGCACATTTTCGACATTTTGGAGAATGATGCACATTTTGGATATTTTGCATAATGATGCACATTTTAGATGTTTTGCAGAATGATGCACATTTTAGATGTTTTGCAGAATGATGCACATTTTAGATGTTTTGCAGAATGGTGCAGTGCATATTTTTGACATTTTGCATAATGATGCACATTTTAGATGTTTTGCAGTTTTGCAGAATGGTGCATATTTTCGAGATATTTTGCAGAATGATGCACATTTTCGATATTTCAAAAATTTCCATTAATTCTATGAAAAGAAATACATTATCTTAAGGAAAAAAATGAATAAATAAAATTTAATAAACTTTTCTCCCACACTCATTAATTTATATCACATATAATTTCTTATTTGCATCCAAATAGCTTCGAGAAGAAATTTTTTGACATCTGCAAACTTTTCCTAAAATTTTCATAAAATTATAGAACAAGAGAGGGAGAGAGAAAGAGAAAGAGAGAGATAAATAGAGAGAGAAAGAGAGGATGAAGTGAACAAAGAAATAAGCGTTATAATAATTAGACTTGGCTTCTTTTCCTATTTTTGTTATATGCCAAGAAATAAAAAATTACGCTTATTTTTTTCTCTCTCTCTCTTTCTTTTTGAAATTTCCCACAGGATTAAAAAGAGAGAGAGAGAGGGAAAAAAGGAAATTGATATTTGGCTTGTTTATTTGTTTGCACTCGATTTTTATTTAAATCATACTTGATAGGGCCTAAACCCTAAAAGTCATTTAGAATTATTTATGACAATTCATTTTTTCCTTTTGAAATTTTCAAAAGAAAAGAATGAGAGGAAGAAAGAGAGAGAGAGAGAGAAAGAGAAAAAATCTTTTCTTCTTTTAAAAATAGTTATAGTAAAATTAATAGTTATAAGTTTGTTTTCTTTCCATCTTTTCCTTATTCTCTTTTATTTCCCTCTTTTCTTTCTTAATTTCTCTTTTTTCCAATGAAATTATAATTTCATTGTAAATGGAAAAGCGAAAATATAATAGAAATTGATGAAGTAATTAAAGAAGGAAGGAAGTTGTAATTGTTTACATAAGTAATAAACAGCTGTAAACATTTCGCAGCTTTCTTTTCTTCTGTTATAATTGTTTACATAAGTAATAAACAGCTATAAACACTTCATAGCTTTTTTTTCTCCTGTTGTAATTGTTTACATAAATAATAAACAGCTGTAAACATTTCGCAGCTTTCTTTTCTTCTGTTATAATTGTTTACATAAGTAATAAACAGCTATAAACACTTCATAGCTTTTTTTTCTCCTGTTGTAATTGTTTACATAAATAATAAACAGCTGTAAACATTTCGCAACTTTCTTTTCTTCTGTTATAATTGTTTACATAAGTAATAAATAGCTATAAACACTTCGCAGCTTTTTTTCTCGTGTTGTAATTGTTTACATAAATAATAAATAAACAGCTGTAAACATTTCGCAGCTTTTTTTTCTGTCTAAATTTCATTTCTAACTTTGTTATTTAGCATATTTAGTACACCTTTTCTAATAGTATTATCAGAAGCTTTTAATTTTTAAAATAAATTTATACCTTTGCTAAACTTTTTCCTAATATACTATCAGTATGTATATACAGGCTTGCTTTTACTTTTCTCTTTACTACAAATTCATTAGCTTATATTTATTCTTTACTACAAATTGATTAGCTTATATTTATCATATTTATTCTTTACTATAAATTCATTAGCTTAGATTTATTAATTTATTCTCTACTACAAATTAATTACCTAATATTTATTTAACAGTTTTCATCATAACATTCCATCGTATTTATTAATTTTTAATTACTTTTCAGAAATTTGATGATAGTTAAAATTCATTCATTCATTATTTTCAGTTATATCTATGAAAATAATTTAAATGGATAAAGTTAATAAATTGATAATTGATAAAATGATAATTTAAACATTTATTAATGATATCTTCAATAGAAAATTATTGCCAGTAGACCTTAAACTTGTTGAATAAATCCAAAATTGTGAATTTTATATTTTTCTAGAGCGACGTTAAAAAAACAAATTTCATTGTTTATCTTTAATAATCTTTGAATATCTTTTTTGATGTTCAATTTAATTTTACCAAATTAAATTTTGCTATTAGTCACAATTTCCTTTCAGAAATTCATTTAATATTCAATTATACTTATCAGTTATATCTTATCAACTGACAAGTTTATTTTAGTGATATTTTTAATAATCTTTGAATGCCTTTTTTGACAGCTAATTACATTTTACCCATTTAAATTTTGCTATTAGTCACAACTTCCTTTCAGAAATTCATTTCATATTCAATTATACTTATCAGTTATATACTTATCAGTTGTTTACTTATTTTAGTGATATTTTTAATAATCTTTGAATGTCTTTTTTGACGGTTAATTTAATTTTACCCATTTAAATTTTTGCTATTAGTCACAATTCCCTTTCAGAAATTCATTTCATATTCAGTTATACTTATCAGTTATATACTTATCAACTGATAAGTTTATTTTAGTGAAAGAAAATAATTATAAAAATTTTTAGAAAATAAATTTCAATATTCCTTGATATCATAAACAAGTACAAACATAATCATTGATAAATGTATTTTAAGATGAAAAGTGAAAAACAAATAAAAGAAGCTGTGAAGAAAATCGGATGACTTCAACTTCCAAACATAAACACGTACGATTTGATTGCTCATGTTCATCTTCTGCTATTACTACTACTATCACTACTATTACTAATACTGTTATCACTGATAGTATTGCAACTGCTACTATTACTTCGCTATCAGCACAGCCAGTATCATCATTATTCTTTCAGAATTATCCCCGTTCCAGTATTCAGAATAATTTACAAAATGCGTCTCAGGAATATCTTTCTTCCTTGTGTTCTTCCTCATCCAATCCTACAATAAAGGAAACGTCATTACCGTCTATCTTTCCTCTCTCATTATCATTCCTTTCTCGAAAGTATTATCAACAAACTTATTCACGACGAAATTCCCTCTTGCCTAACTCCGCCCTACCTCAACAACACCAAACAAAGTCGATTATTAGAAATAGCCACACCTTCACTAAAACTGCCGATCATCCTTCTGAGAATACTTCTTCATCCATTCTTCATTTAAACACTCAATCTCTGAGTTCAATATCTCCATTACTACAAGTTACAACAATTCCCTCATATCATACCAATAACATGAAAAATCCATCAACTTTGGATACGATCAAAGTTTCCAGATCCAAATCACAATCATATCAGGTTGATTTTTAAATCGTACAAAATTTTTGTATTTTTTCTTCAATTTCAATTTTCGAATTTCAAATTTGACAAATATCAAAAAAGACAAAATTGTAGGAAATTGAAGGAGAAAAAGTGGAATAGTAAGCTTATTTAAGCATTAAAGGAGTGATTTTTGCTTTTTAATATTAATAAGTAATTAATTTAATTTTTTATTCAAATTTCTCAGACATTCAATTAGCTTGCAAAAATGCTTTCAAGCTTCGGTAAATTATTTGTTAAAAATACATAAAATTAAAAATAAATAAAATTCCATCCATAATTGTTTAGTTATTCAAGCATGCATAAAAATAAATTACTTCTATCAAAATCTCGGATATCAAATTTCAAGAGACTTTTAGCAATTAAATTACAATTTGCGAAATTCCAAAGAAGAAAAGGAAATTTAAATTTCGATGATAATGAAGAGCTAATCTTAATAATCGTAGTATTGATAATAGATAAGTTAAAAACGGTAATCAAAATAAAATGACTAATATGTTTTGCCTACTGTACAAAAATATAATGTATTTATCAAAGGTATATAATCTTTTCAGGTATTCGTTGATTATTATCAAAATTGAGGTTTATTCATTTGAAATTTCGAAAATTTCAAATTCCTGAATTATTTTTTCGTAAAAAAAATATGCTGTAAATTTCGAGTATATTTCACTGTAAATCAAAATTGAAAAAATTGATTCTAAATCCGGAAAATTTTAAATATACAACGAAAAAAATATACCAAATAATTGCTTCCTTTGTCTTTTTTCCGATCTTAAGTTTAAATATTATTTGATCAAAAACGGATTAAAAGTTTTTTGATCATTCAAACATTTTTTTTTTTTGAAAATCTTTTAAATACGAAATATGATATCTATGATATCTTAAAATATCATATCATTTTCATTGTAATTATTAGTAAACAATTCTCAAAGCTAAATTACCTAATTTTTTATTCATTTTCTATATAGCAGCAATAATTCTTACCATATTTCAAAATAATCCATAAGTTATTTTAGAGGCAAAAAGAAAAGAAAAGGAAAATACTGTAACATCAAAATTTTTGTAGTACAAAAACATTTCATAATTTCTTAAATGCTAAAAAATACTGTACCACCAATTTTTTTATAACGTACCATCAACTTAAATGCTAGAAAAATCCTGTACCCATTACTGTACCATCAAAATTTTGCAGTACAAAAATAATTCATAGCTTCTTAAATGCTAAGTCTTTAATATATTATAAAATAATCAATGTTTGAATATTAGCCCAATTTATTATAAGCAATTTTTTTTTCAACAATTAAAGTAATCAGAAATTATGCAACCGTAATCTAATGCTATTGTCGCATTTGGATATCAATGTGAAGGGCCTAAACAACTATACCAAGCCTTTTGAAATATTTTTTAAGTGCTGCAAAATTAGGGTACTAATGCTATCATTGTAAAATTGAGCAAATTTTGATGACCTCCGCTTTAACCTTCTGATTATAATGCTCCCATAATTTTATTACAAATATCATAATCATAATTATTATTTAAAGCAGACATAATATCTAAATATTTTATTGTTCTTTACATATCTTTATTAGTATACATTTTGTTAATAATTTTAATTAACTTAAATATTTTGTTTATTTTTTGATAAGCATCCATTTTGAGGGCCATCTAAAAACAAATAATGAATATTGAAACTATAAATAATAAAAGTTACAATCCTTGTTAAGAATCTTAAGAGTGCTTACTTCTCTTTTATTTTTCGCAAAATAACTTCAATTCTCTTTTTATTTTTCAACGCAAAACAACTTATAATTATTACTTCACTACTAATCATTTCAATATTACCCTCAAAATTATTCATTCATTCATCTGTCATGACACACACACACACACATACACACATTATACTAATTTAGAAATGAAATATTCAAATTGGTTGAAAACTGCTATCGTTGAAAGTAAGAAATTTGTTATATAATTATTTCAAATATAATATTATAATATTTATTATCTTATAGGAAAAATTTTTTGTACTGTTTTTAGCTTTCTTTTTTCTAACTATAAATTTAGTGAAAATTTTAAATTTCAATCAAATTTTGCATTTTTGATTTTTTCTTCTTCAAACCAGAAATACTAGGAATAAGTGTTGAAATTTCGTACTGATTGTTATTATTAATATAAAACAAACCATAAGGCTTTAAATTTATTGTCATTAAATAATTAGCAAATTAAATTTGAATGGTCTTTTTTTGAAATATCTAACATTGTATCTCATTTTCAACAGTTATTTTAATAATAAAGAATTCTGCGAATATGTTAACTACAGGAATAAGTGTTGAAATTTCGTACTGATTGTTGTTAATATGAAATAAACCACAAGACTTTACACTTTATTATCATTTAGTAATTAGTAAATTAAACTTGAATAGTCTTTTTTTGAAATATCTAACATTGTATCTCATTTTCAACAATCATTTTAATAATAAAGAATTCTGCGAATATGTTAACTTTGGCAATTTCTAAAGTTTCAACAATGCCATTAAATTTAACTTTCTCCGTTTCTTTCTCTTTCAAAGTTATGAGAAAGGAATTCCCAAAAGATTTTTAGCACATTAAATAAAAGGAAGAAAATAAGCAAGTATGAAACTTTCTCATCTAACGCACAATTTCATTTCATCATTTCATATCTGGTTGGTAAAACGAGAAATTTTTTGAAATTAAATGAAAATGATGGTAATCATTTTATAGTTAATTTTAATTAATAAATGATAATTATTATTTTTGCAAAATTTTTCTCCGTTAATTATTTATAAGTTAAAATTACAAAATTACCTTTAAAAGTTTTAAAATTTTGATTGAGGTAAAAAAAGTGAATTATCAGTAAAAATCTTAATCATAATTAAAGATTGAAAGAAGAAAGGTAGGAAAAAGAGAAAGGATGATAAAATCATGAGAATTTATCATTTTATGCTTACCTTGTAATTTTTTCATTGCGTTGTAATTTTCTTTGTTGTAGATCTCTTCGTTTGCATATGTTTGAAGTAAAAATCTTAATCATAATATTATATTACTAGTTATATTATATTATCATAATATTATATTACCTGTGGTGAATTGATCTCGTAAAATAAGTATTCGGTATTTTTTAAAATGATACATTTTTTTTAAAATAATGATTTATTATTGATTTGTAATTACTTAAACAGAATTGAATAACTATCGGATACGGTATAGTTACCGTAAAAATATTATATATAAGAAAGAAAAAAATATTCTCAAAAAATAATAGAAGGAAAAATAAAGGAAAATGAATTTCTTGTCTTAATTCCAAATGAAATTATATGTACGATTTATTTGAATATTGCTTTAATTGCTGATTAAATTAATTAATATTTCTATTTATTTATTTTTTTGACTTCTTTTATTCTTTTACTTTAATTTTTTCAACAGTATAATGCAATATAATAAATTATGTAAGATTTATCGCAATGGTAACTGATCAATTTTTTGTTTACTTGTTTATTTATTCACTTATTTTTTCATCGTAGATGTTTGTTGCATAATTAATTAAATGTAAATAAAGTAAAAAATGAATAGACAAATGGATTGAGTTATTTCTGTTAATTAATTGAACAGTATCGTTCATTTCATTTTTGGCAAAATTTATTCATTTTTTTTTAAAATCAAATTATATTTTATGCGGAAATTAATTCTAGTATTATTCTTTTAAAAACAAAAAAGAATTAAAAATTATTTCAATTTGTTTTATTTTCTTTATTTTCTTGAAAACTATTAATGATGAAATTCTCTTCTATTATTCAATCAATTTGATTATAATTAATTTTGATAAAATAAATGCCTATCTTTTGAATATTTTATATCTTAGAAGAATTTTCGAACTCTGAAAATGATTTGCTCGTATCATATTGATATTTGATTGATAAAAAAATTATCAGATAAGAAAATATGAAATTTAATTATATGACTGATGAAAATTTTACAAAATATTTTAGGAACAAAGATAAAATGATCTATCGAATTTTTTATCGTCTTATTTTTAACTTAAAAATGAAATTATTCAAGGAGAGAGAGAGAGAGAGAGAGGAATGAGAAGAGGTAGAGAGAAATTGCGAAGTGTGACGGAAGTGAAAATTTGATCAAAGAGTTTAGGAACGGAAATAGAAATTCTTTTTTCATACAGAGATAAATTAGATTGATATTAATGGAATGAAATGAATTGGCAAATTCACACCAATGTTGAATTGTTGCTATTATTATTATTTAAAAATGAATATTTGCATAATGTTGAATTTAATTTCGATATTTTAAATTGAAATCATAAATGAAATTAATAAGTGAAATATATGAAAAAGTTAATTCTCACAAAAATATTTCAAACATTTTTAACTTTTTTAAATTTCATTTTTTTTCATTTAAAATTTTATTTAAACAAAACCTTTGATACATATGGCATATTTGTTTATGTTTGTGTATGTGTTTATATGCGCACTTATGTGCAACTGTGTGTCATAAACGATTATGCACTAAGCTTATTTAATACTCAGGCGACTAGAATTTAATCCATGATATTTGACGATAACGAAGACAAGTCAATAATTTATTTTGTTGTCGTAAATTTTCGAAAATTCTCAAAATTTATTTCAGCTTTTTCAGTAATTAACAAGAAGCTAATTAATTTGTTGGAATTTAAAGCAAAAATTCTAAGTGAGAAAATGGAAAATGTTGCAATTAATTAGACAAGTTTTTCAAATTGAACTTTTCTCAACAAACAACTGAATTAAATTACGGTACCATTCAAAATTTAAATATTCTTTGAAGTTTAAAATTTCGACAATTTAGCATTTTAGTTTCTACAAATGACATTCCCAAACTCCCATGGTTTATCAAGGATAATTTTCTTACCTTTTTTTTCGATTTATTTTAAGACTAAATTTGAAATAATTTCAGAGTAGCAATGAAGGTGCTCAAATCAGACGTATATCATTAGCCGAATTTACAGGACTCGAAGATTACGCCAGTCAAAGGGAAAGGTAATCACATTTTCGTTTTAATTTTTAACCTTTAATTATTATCGACTAATTTTTAAGGCAATGATTAAAGCAAAAGCAAAGAGCATGCAATATTAATAACGCATGCAATATTTGAAAATACAACTTCTGAAATGATTTAAAATATTTGAATAAAGCTAAATTGCAAATTAAAATGCAGCAAAGAAAATGCATTCAATATTTATGCAATAACGCATATAATATTGGAAAATGCAACTTTTGAAATGATTTAAAATATTTGAATAAAACTAAATTGCAAATTGAAATACACTTAACACATTTCCAAAATAAAAAAACGAACATATTTATCTTTGTAGTAAACTACTACAAAATCCTATAGATGTATGAAATGAAGTTACGTTAATGAAATAGAATGAAAATGGTTAGTTAATTAGAAACTTCCAATTACTTACAACTTTACCTTACTTACTTGTTAAATCTCCATTTTATGAAATGATGTAAATTGGATTTGTTTTTGATTATACAAAATGGAGGTAATTTTAAGAAATTATAAATGAGAAAGCAATGAAGTTGCAAAGAAAGATGGCGCTAATTGACGACAATATATATATTAAAGATGGCGCTATTTGATGACAATTTATATTAAAGATGGCGCTATTTGATGACAATTTATATTAAAGATGGCGCTATTTGATGACAATATATATTTTATCGAAAAGAATAAATGTTATTGTAGAATTATAATTTTGGAACATTTTTTTAAATTAATAAATTTTTTTTTGCATAATTAATTATCTGTAACTATTTAACATTATTATTTGGTAATGATATATTTTGAATATTTCAAAAGATATGTAATAGTAATGAAGGAAAAGGTATTAATGATTAATTATCATTTTACTTTTTATGTGCTATTTTTTTTTAACACGAATATATAACATGTGAATGAATTATTCATCATTAATGATTATTAATTTGCCAAAATTATAATCAAATAAATTACCGATGAAGTACCTTTCATCATCATTATGATAAGCTCATTAATGAATTAATCCATACATATGTACAATATGTATGATCAGATCTTCTATAATTTTTATGCTGTGCTAACCATGCCATCATTATCACTACTATTAACAGTGTATCGTTATTTCACGTTTTTATTAATACAACTAATTAGCGCTGAAGTTGACATAGCTAATATTATCACCGCTGCTGTCAATATCATAATCATTATCATATTATAATCCACCAATATTGATATTATTACGGCAATCATATTGCTATCATTGCATTTATTAGCAGCAATAACATGACTGACCTCTAATTGTTTCTGTTAGATTGCCTTAAAATATCAAGCTAAATTATCTTTCCAGATCTTTTCATTTTAAATCTAATTGTTTGAAATTTACGATCAAGTGGAACTTTTGAGATGATTTACTTCACTTACAAATCTTAAAATTCAATTACTGTTTTTTTTCTTAATTAATTTAACCTTTTTGTTCTCATCTCAGTAAAAGTATTTTAAATACTAATATTCCAGACAGAAAGATTTTATGCTACTGGAAAAACTAAAGAAAAATATGAAGAAAAATCATCCAACATCAATGAGCCTAATTAACGCATACAGTAATCGACGTCGTCCTACTATTATCAGCAGTATTCCAGAAGATTTTAAATGCACTGAACTAAGTAAAATGGCCAAAAATGAATCAACCCGAAAATTAGAACAAATCGATTCCAACCATATCAATGAAAGGCTAGAAATTTATTTTCAAAGTTACAATTATTGTAAAGATGTTATTCCTTGCCTTTCTGAAACAAGAAACAATGCTTTTACAATAATTGTTGGAACAATTTTCTTTTCAATGATTTCTGAAATCATCAAAAATTTCAAAATCAAATTTTTGAATAAACTTTTTCAATATCTACCATAAATGTTAATGCACAATGAAAGGTTTCAAAAATTAAATATTTTTTTCAGAGTCGAAAATTTACGAAAACAGGTTGAAAAAGCAATGAATGATTTACCGAATCAATCACCAAGAAAATCGTTCGATTCCAAAAATGAAAAGAATGAATTATTAAATGGGAGTAGAAAGCTTGCTGGAGCTTGTAACGTTTGTTTTCTTTTAATTGTGGATGATTAGTTAATTGAAATTGTTTGCAAAAAAATTATTAAGAAATTTCATTTGTTATAAAATTCAACTTCGATACTTGATATCTCAAATTATATAAAATTTTCGTTACTCTATCGATAGCAAGAAATTGAAATAATCCAATAGTTTGGATTATTTGCTAACGATTGGTAAAAGGAAAGATCTATAGGCTGGAGGCATAGGCTGGAGAAAAAAAGGCTTATACAGATTTTGATTGATTAGACTTGAAGTATTACGACCTAATATAGAATCAAATCTCTTACAAGCTTCAAAAGATCCTCCAAGAATTAAAAATCTTCGCCGCATTTTCTAATCTAATACATTTTCTACAGATCGTAACCTGGCTCAAGAAGACTTTAAATGTTAGAAAAAACTTGTTATGAAAAGTTATACCTATATGATACACTTCCATACAGCTCAGTGTTTTGTTGAATTCAGCGTTAAGCTTTTTCTTTTCTTACTTTTTCAATTTGCTATTAACATTTAGCATAAATTATGGAAAATTTGATATAGTGAAAAATATTCAGCAATACTTTACGGTACTTTCAGGCAATGATAAGTGAAATACATAATACTGGAAGTGGAAAAAATTGGTCACAAATAATCGAAGAAGTATTAGAGGCAGCTGAAGAAGTAACTCAAATAACGGAACGAATAATTCAAAAATCAAATTCTATCTTTCAAGCACAACTAATGGCCACAAAAACTGAACAGGTTTAATATGGGTTGGATGAATGATAGATAACAAATTGATTGCTAATTTATCGGATTATTCCAAAAATTAGCCAATCACTTTTCCATATTTAAGAATAGGTTAGATTGAGTAAAAGAAAGTTTGTTACAGATGCTTAAATCACTTCTGGAGGTGTTACAAAGTGCCCAAGAAGTACAAACGAAAGATAGCGACAGCATGAAACTGTTGACAGCACGAAGCACAACGCTAACAGCAACTGTAAGACAGCTGCTATCAACCGTACCATAGGTATAAATCATGTAAGATAGAATCGTGTGGATAGAAATAAACAACTTTGTATCAGTAATTTATTACAGCATCCAACAATCACCGTAATTCAAGAATGCTACGGCAGTGTCTGCCGATATAGTCGAAGAAGTATCAAGAGATAATGTTGAAAGCAATAAGAATTACCAAAGCTATGCAGGCATCTTTCAAATGTATGAAGGCTTAAAGATGAAGAAGCTCCAATCGTTCATTTCACTTATAAAACCGTTGCAAAGTTGTGAAGAGACCAGAAAAGTGTGACTTGATCTCAAGTATTCGGATAAGAACTACAGTTTATCAGGTTACGTTAGTCTGATCTTGGAATGTGAAGCGATAAAGAACGCGAAGTGAAAATTACAGGAAAAAAGAAGACAATTTTGAAGTTGTATTGAAAATTTGGTACAAAAATATGATAATATGAATCACAAATCATTGGCTGAACTGATAAGGTACAGCAGAATATAAAAAAAACTTTTGAAGAACAATTATAAAAATAAAGAAACAATTGAGCCATTCCAATCAGAATCATTTTTAGAAAAGACAAAATATTTTCAAAGAAAGAATCCGTAACAATTTCCAAAGAGAAAAAAATGAAAAATATACTAGGAATAGAATAGAAATAAATTTTTCTCCTCATAAATTCTCACATCAAATGTTTAATACAACACATGTTGGCCATTCAAGAATGCTTATAAAAGTCGAATCAATTCACTGCTTGGACCAAAACTGCTATCTTGCAATTTTCCAAGACTGACTTATCCAAAATGCAACAACATCAATAAAACTACATGACAAAAAGGAGAAAACATTCGCAACCTGACAATTTTGACGGCAACAACATATTAATAAAGACGGAAAGAAGAAATAATCAGAAGATTAAATGAGAAAATATCCTTTCGAATGGAAAAAGACTATTACTAGAACTCCAATGCATAACAGTATCAATTAGGATATTAATTCATGTTCATCTTGCAAACGAAGAGGTCACGTGATGCATTACAGTTCCTGTTGCGATAATTCTCTTTGAATGTATTCTTGCAGTGCATTCGGATTGTCCAACATGCTGGCGTCTTTTGCCAAAGCTACTAACAACGTCGAAGCACACATTCTAACAGCGCATAGTTTGAAATTTACGTTCAACCAATTACTTGTTTCGGACAAGATTTTATCCGATGGCAGTTGATCAAGTCTTTTGATCAATGTATCCATCAATGGTTGCATCATTTCTGCCATCTAAAAATTTACATCTGTTAAAAAGTAATTTCAATGATATTAACAAAAACAATCACAGGCTAATTTATTAATGTATGTCGCAAATTGTCTTCATGTCTATGCACCAATATAAGATGCAATCTTGTCTTTTCTCATTTTGAATCTCCCGCTAAGATGAAGCGATCGTATTTAAGTAATCTCAAACTTCTTCAATTTTTTTTTACTAGGAAGAAAACAACTAATTATATTCTAAAAAGCATAGCATAATACTATTGAAAGATTCACAAAAATTTTTACAATTCGAAATTTGAATTCAGTCGTATAAAATCATATTAAGCAGAAAGTCGATTATTTGCAAAACTTACAATCCAAAAACTGTAATCTTGATGAGTTCTTTCCTTTATATAGTGTTCCAGAAATTCTTTCATTTCGAATTTCTGACGTGGCGTACTTGTGATATTTTTTAACGGTAGAGAAGATCGGAGCGATCTGTAAAGCAGAAGTGAATTTGATGTGGTCATAGCTAGAAGCTTCTACTGCTTCGAGAACTGACTCACATTTTTGATAACTAGAGGCTAGAAATGCTAAAACTTCGCGTTTTCTCCTAAAACTTCACACATTTATATATGTACAACAAATAAATGATGCAGTGAAGTTATTTTCAAATAAATGAAAAGACATACAATGAAATTATTCTGAATAGTTGTTTAAGCGTAGCTTAATATAAACAGTAGCTTAATAAGTGATTGCATACATACATAACCTATCAGAACCTTTCAATTAAATTGAATCTGCTATAAACTGTCTTCCACAAAAAACTTTCGCACAGAATTTGAATTTCAATTCGAATGCAAAGAAATACTAACATAACTTTTTCATTTAATCGCTTTATTTTAAGCTGTAATTTTCTTATTGTTCCATCACCAAGAACAAGCTTCATATTCAGTTCCCGTATACGTTTAGAAGCATATGGAACAATAAAACTCTCTTCCGGTTTGGTATTCGCATTATCGCACAAATTTATTACGTTTGACAAATGTTCAAGCCCTTTTTCTAAATCGTAATATCTGAAAACGAAAAGTACTCAACGAATGAAAACAACAAAAGTGAAAAGGAAGAAATAGAATTCTGGCTTTTACTGCTGGCGATAAACACAATGAAACAACTAGTCGATCCTAATAAACACGCAAGCCTAACTTATTCAATTCATTTTCAGATAAAATTAGAGCAATACATTCAAATTTTAAGAATTTCACCTAATAGAAACTCAACGGTATGTGAATAGTCATATTTAATTTAAAGTTATATAATTTGATAAAATATTATCAAAAATTTATCATGATAACTACCATATGATTAAGAACTAAAAACTAAACTAACTCATCCTCTTTCGTACTATCATCCACGATGTGTTCTTCCTCTTCTATCACCGACTCGCCACTATCCCCCGTAATATTGCTATCTACTCCTAAGCTTTTATGATCATCCCTTAATGAAATTATGCAAAATGAGTTTATTTTGAAGTTTAAAAGACTTTCAAAAAATGAAAATGAAACTCTTTTAATTAAATTACATATTTTCATATAAATCACTAATTTATATTCCGACTGCAAATCATGAATTTTAACTATTCTTTCAATGTCTCGAATTTCAGATTCATCAATTTAATCCGAAATCTATTGGTTATTTCATGTAATTCTCATTTTTCAAAACACATCAATTCTTTCAAAATTTAAGAAAATTACAGAAACGCACTAAAAAAATCAATATATTCTTTTATTAACTTAGTTTTAATTAATACTCATTAATCCGCAAAAAATTATACGTACTTCAAAACATGATGGACTTGTTGTTTAGTTGGTACTGTATCAGAAGGAAGAATAGTACTTCGTTCATTTGACGACGTTGCAGTCACCTTCGGTAATATTTGATTGTTTTCTTGAGATTGAATGGATTGCAGTGTCATACAGTCAGATCCGTTTACAGTTGATGGTAATTGCTGAAAGCTCAATTTCATTATTTAAGTTAAAAAATTACAAATTACTCAATTTCACTCAATTAAAAGCTATGTCAAGAAGTTATTTTTTGCTAAAAATAATAAATATTGGTTAAATTTGAAATCATTATAAGAATATGTGCATTTGGAAAATTGAGAAATATGAAAAGATTATAAGTTTTATCGGAAGCAAATTAATCTTGTGTCAAAATTTCAATACAAAAAATTGCGATCTTTCTAAATAACTTACACTTTGAACTCCATGATCAATTGAAGCAATAGCTGGAGTTCTGATATTAAACGTTTCAAGTAGGGCTGGATGACCCGATGGAACAGAAGGAGCCAAACTATTCGTCGATCGTGTCTGATTGCATCGAACTAATGTCGAAGTGTGTGGTATAGTAGTTGTGAAAAATTGCGATGCATATTGGGATGATTCGGTCCTGTTACGCACTACTGTAATCAAAGGTGTATGTTGTTGGTATGGTGCCTAGAAAATATAAATATTAAATTTAAATTTAAAGAAAAAATAATAAATTTAGAAGTATAGGGATAATTTAACTTCAATATCTATATCCATAGCTTTTTCCCTTTCAAATTTCAATTAAGCTGTTTAAAATGATAATACTAAATATTGAAATTAACAAAAGAGTCATTTGACATTTATTTCCGATTAAAAAAAATAGATTAATCCTTTTTCTCTGTAGAAAGGAGAAAAACCTGTCCATATGTTGATGCAGAAGGATTATGGATAATAAATTGTCGTGTTCGATTTGTTAAAGTCGTAAAATTTGCTTGTGTTCGATTTCTTGAAGTTGTAAAATTTGCTTGTGTTCGATTTCTTGAAGTTGTAAAATTTGCTTGTGTTGGATTTGTTACAGTAACAAAGTCTGCTTCGAAATCATCATGCGTAGTAGACGGATTTGCTGAGTTAAAACCAGCATTCTCCGATTGATCCTGTTCCTGCGCATCTATAAGTAAGTCAATATAAAACTGATAAGAAAAAGTCTAAATTTAAAAGGAGAAGAAATCTAAATTTTGTCATGTATTATTGTAAAGATGGTTCTAAAAATATGAATGAAACCTTTAACCCTTATTATTTCTTCGTATTGAAACTAATGAATTTCTTGATTTTAAACAAATTAGTAAATTTCAATATCCTTCAAATCTTTTTTTTAGTCTATTAACATAAATCTTCGGAGTTAAAATTTCTGAAGTAATTAATGTTTTCTTATATTCTTCATTTAAATATTTGGTTCAAGCCTTAATTTTTTTCGCGCAAGCTGGTTTAAAAAAAGATAACAAAACTGACCTAAATCAAAATATAAACCCCACGGGAACATTCCATATACAATAAATGTAAGTAAAAATGATGAATGAAAACATCATAATGCATGATCTCCTGATCACATTAGTAGTACTTGATCTTAATTAATTAATAACTTTCTCATTCATCTTTTTTCCTACATCGATAACACTTCTTTCCTTCTCCATTCATCACGTCTCCTCAATTTCGAGTATATTTCTGATGAAATGCACAATGAATTACAATGATGAAATTCTAACTGTAATCTAAATATGAATCTTTATTTCTTACCTGTCGTATTTTATCGTTAACTCTTCCTCATCTTCTCTTTTTCCAATTCATTCCAATTTCTTTCTTTTAGAATTGTTCTAAACAAATTAAACAAATAAAATTCAATCCAAATCGGTGCAGCTTCAGAGATGTCAGAAGTATTCAGATCTTAGTGGCACAATTTTGTAGCGTAAAGTGATTCAATGAAAAGAAATGGAAAATGTTGTTGTTCATTTAAGTCAATTTTCCTTCTCTAAATTTATATATCTCAGTTCTGGCAAAATCCTTATATAGTCAATGAGATTTTATATGAGATGGCAATTATTCTCTCTGTATATTTATCTAAGTGTACATTTTGTTGTCCAACCTAGGGATTTGAGGATATTTGAATTTTGATCGGGAAAGATGAAAATGAAGGAATAGGATGTGCTATCTCCGAATTCATCAGAATTTGATGGTACTTCAGCAACAAAAAAACTATTCCAAAATTTACCAAAACCATGTAGGCATCTTGAAATGCATGAAGACTTAAAGTGAAAAAGCCTAATCATTCATTTCACCTTTCTTTGAAGTGGAAGTTTGAGACTATAAAACTGTTTTAAGGCTATAAAGAGACCAGAAGAGTGTGTGACTTGATCTCAACTATTCGAATAAAAACTATAGTTTATCAGGTTGCATTAATCCGATTTTGGAATGTGAAGCCATAAGTAACGCAATGTGAAAATTACGGATAAAAAAGAAGACAATTTTGAGGTTATATTGAAAATTCGGTGTCAAAAATACTCTAATGCGAACCAAAAGTGATTGGTTGAACTGATGAGGTACAGCAGAATATAAAAAAACTTTTGAAGAACAATTATAAAAATGAAGAAACAATTGAGCCATTCCAATCAGAATCATTTTTAGAAAAGACAAAATATTTTCAAAGAAAGAACCCGTACAATTTCCAAACAGTAAAAAGTGCAAAATATACTAAGAACAAAAATAAATTTTTCTCCTCACAAATTCTCACATCAAATGTTTAGCGCAACACATGGTAGCAATCAAGAATGCTTACAAAAGTCGAATCAATTCACTGCTTGGATCAAAAGCTGCCATCTTAATATTTTCAAGCCTGAATTACCTCAAATCCAATAACATCGATAAAACTACATGATAATAGAGAGAAAAACATTCGCAATCTAATAATTTTAACAGAAACAACACTTTAATAAAGGTGAAATGAAGAAAAAATTAGATAGATTAAAATGAGAAAATATGCTTCGGCAAGGAAAAAGACCAAGAGTAACATGTAATTTTTCTGGAAACTTAAAGATGTTCAAAACGAATTAGAGAACTTTTTTCAGCTTCTAATTTGCTTTTTTTCCCAATCCTTCTCTCAGCCTTCACTTTCCAGATAATGCTAAACTTTTGGTATAAATAACGAGCTTCAAAGGATTTTTGCACACCCATTCCTTTTACTACCGAAGATCATCTTTCCATGGTTAAGATTATAGTCATTCATCAGCCGAATTAACTAAGTTAATACCTCAGCTCAATTCAGCTGTACTGTTCAACCACTCCTTACGAAATTTGGGATGATCTTTTACCGCACAAAATAACACTATATATTCCAATCCATAACAATATCAATAGGCCATTAATTCCTGTTCATCTTGCAAATGAAGAGGTCACGTGATGCATTACAGTTACTGTTGAGACAATTCTCTTTGAATGTATTCTTGCAACGCATTTGGATTGTTCAACATACCAGCATGTGTTGCCAAATATACTAACATTGAGGAAGCACTCGGTCTTACAGTGGCTGGCTGAAAATTTGCCTGCAACCAATCACTCGTTTCTGCTAAGGCTCTATTTGACGGTAGTTGACTAAGTCTTTCGATCAATGTCTCCATCAATGGTTGTATCATTTTTGCCATCTAAAAAATTTACAACTGTTAAAAAGTAACTTCATGATATTAACAAAATCACAATTAAAGCTAATTTATTAATATTTGTCCTTACCATCTCCAAAAAATATTAGACTTTATCCAACATGCGCCCAATACGAGATTTAATCTCGTCTTCCTTCACTCCGGCATTTCCCGGCGATATCCGAATAATTGAATGTAACGCTAGCTTATGTAAATGGTCTCAACCAGAAGAAGAACGAAAAATTTTCCAAGATATTGACATAATACCATTGAGGAATTCATAAAAAATTTCATGATTTCTCACTTGAAACTGAATTTATTCGTAAAAAAGCATATTAAACACACGAATTATTCAAAACTTACAACCCAAAAACGATAGTCTTGACGCGTTCTTTCTTTTGTATACCGTTCCAGAAACTGTTCCATTTCAGCTTTCTGACTAATCGTGCTTGTTGCCGTTCGCGATGTAGACGGCAAAGAAGCTTGGAGCGACCTGCAAAAGCAGAAATGAATTTAACCAGAAAGTAGATAGAAGTTTCTACTACTTTTATAATTGATTCATATTTTCAATATTTCGAGGCTAGAAACGTCATAACTTTGCACCTTTCTTCTACGGCTTCGCACATTTATATATGCACAACAAATAAATGAAAAGACATGCAGCGAAATCATTTTGAACAGTTATTTTGAACAGCCGCTTAAGCGTAGCTTAATATGAACAAGAAAGATCAAGTGATTGCATATAGATATAACCTATCAGAACTTTTAAATCAGATTAAATCTGCTATAAATTGTTTCTTGCAGAAAACTTTCTGTGCAAAGTTTGAATTCTAATTCAAATAAATAGAAGAACAACAGAAAACACTAACGCAATTTTGTCATTTAATCGTTGTATGTTTTGTTTCAATTGTCTTGTTTTTTCTTCATCAAGCGAAATTTCAGCCTTCAATTGTCGTATACGTTCAGCTGCACGTGTTAAAACAATGGCATTTGTTGGCTTTGTACCACAGCCGTATAAATTTGGCAAAGAATTCAACAGTTGTTCAAACCCATCTTTTAAAGCACAACGTCTAAAAGTGCGAATTTTATACGGTTTGTATTTTTGGGAATGACGATTAAAAATAAGCATAAATTGTCATAATTTATATTTGAAATTTCTATCAAAGAGAACTTAGATTTCGGCGATTTAAAAGTATATCATGCGAATTATTATTCTCAATTGAAACATAAAATTAATTAGAATAATGGAAAATTTTAAATTACAACTACCAATATGAAATTGCTTTGATTCACCCACATACTTATCACATGCATTGACATGAAAACTCAACCTATTTTGCTCAGCATTTAAATGCAGGATGCGTTTCCTTTCCACCGGTTCAATCGTACTATCTGCTGCCACACTCCTACAGCCACGTCTTAACAAAGATTTTTATCACGCATTTATTTCGAAGTTTTAGAAGACTCTTCAAATATTTAATTACAAGTTCAACAGTATAGTAAATGTTGAATTTTCAATAATATCAATTTCAGTTACTTTCTTCCGCATATTTTTGCTTAATTTCAGTTATATTACTTATATTGTGTCATAAATTCATATTTTTGCCATGCAGAGATATATCTGTTCCTGTACGAATGTAATCTTTTCTTCTCCATCTTATTAACGGAGTTCTAAACTTAATTGTTAAAACATCCTTCTTTTTCAAATAATTTAATTTGAGATTCGTGAGTTATTCCCATACTTACTGGTTATCTTTCTACCCACTGTGATGGCAAAAATATTTCTCACATATCAATTTTTTCAAAATATGAAGAAAACCATAGAGAACGCACTAGAAAAAATCAACATATCCTCTTATTATTATAATTTTAATCATTACTGGCTAATCTACAAAAAAGTATACCATACTTTGGAGCACGATGAACTCGCTCACTCTTCTCATGTTCCTGTTTAATCGATGTTGTACCAGAAGGGAGAGTAGCACTTTCTTCAGGTGACGATGCTGCAGACACCTTCGGCAATATTCCACTATCTTTTTGAGGAAAAATAGGTTGTGATGCCAGAACTGAATTTAGGCCGGCATTTGTGGTAGGTGTTAACTGCTGAAAGCTTAGTTTCATTACTTAAGTTGAAAAATAAAATTATTTAATTGCACCCATTCAGCAGCTCACGTAAGCGTTCATTTTTCGTCGAAAAGTGAGAAATAAAGTTGAATAAAGTTGAAAAAAGAAAAGAAGGAGTCATAAATTTTCCCTAAAGGTGTCGTTCATTCTGTATCAAAATTTCGATACAAAAAATTGCAAAATTTATGAAACTCGATGCTCTAAGGAGCTCTCCAAACTCGATGCTCTAAGGAATTGGTAGCAATCCCACGAGGTGATAAAGAGCTTGGCCCGCAACACTCCACTTTTCGGTTTGGAACTTCAAAGCATCAGTTGAAATAGAAAAAACCTTTAACGAATCTTTATGTGACGTATTGATGAGATGAGTTTCAACTGTCGGTAATGACGATGACGAAACAGTTGTCGAGCTGTTGACTGGTAGAGATGATACCACAGCGGTATTCGAACTAGATGGACTGTGCACAACGGATGGAGTTGAGGGGCTACTCAGCAAGGATGGAGTAGGGGTAGATGGAAAGTTTATCCACCATGTCCTATTCGGTAGAACTGATGAAGGGAATTGCATACTGGTTGTGAGGAATTGTGGTACATAATCCAAAGTGGATGAATCAGTTGTGTAAGGCATTGTTGCAATCAAAGGTATATGATCGTATTCTGCCTATAAAATAAAAACATTAAATTTGAAATGAATGGGAAAATAACTTTAGAATAGGAGCATATTTTGACCATCGTCTATACTCTCGGCTATCTTTCCTTTATATTTTACTAAGCTATTTATGGTGAAACCAATGAAATTCATGAATAACACTAATTTGGTATTTCTATACACGATAATTGATTCTTTTTTTGCTAGGGAAACACCTGTGAATATGTTGGCGCAGGCGAATTAGCAAGAAGAATTTGCGACGATATACTGGATGATTGTCTTGTTGGTTGCTGAGTCGGATTCATAAAGCTACCGAAAGTTGTTTCATATTCCTTCGGTGCACATGGAGAAGGAGTTGAAACATTTGACGCATTATAGTTTCCAATTTCATCCAGCAATTGCTCTGGTGGATCTGCAAGAAAATTGAATCAAAGTTTGTTAACATTTGTTCAAATTTCGACGTATCTCCTCCCAAAAATGCTTTTTATTACTTATTTTTACAATACGATTGTCTTTTAATTCAAATATTGCATGCTCTTCGAGAATTCACTATAAAATGAAAATGTTTATCCCTTTATTCATACAGCAAAATCTAATCACAATCCACACATAATCATCTTCACGATCACGACCGCCTAGTGATACTATGATATTTATAAAGACGATATTTCTAACCTGATTTATTTAATTTAATCAATGTGCTAATCCCCGACTAGCTTCTTCATCTCTGTCTTATTACTCCATTTATCTTTGTGTCACTATTTATGACTCTTTTTAAGAAATATATAAATTACAATGACGGTATTGCGATTGTACTGGCGCTACATGATCTAGTATATTCCATTTCTTTTCCAACTCTATAATTCAACAGTCTAATTGTATGGCCAATATTTTTCTTGGATGACTGCAAAAGATTACACTACAAATTAAATTTAAAAAAAAGATTTGGCTCACCAAGAGACGCCATTATTTCTTCGATGCTTGGCTGTAATGATAACAATCCGGGTTGCATCACATCAGCATTACATCCTTGCGCTAAATAATAAAAGCATGGAATCAGATGAATCAATTATATCTTTTGTTCTAGTGAGAAAATCCTGTCCACAAAAAGAAAATCATTTTCAACAATTCATATTGTGATAGTACAGAGTACAGGAATGCTGACTAATTTTCCTAATGAAAAAGTTTCTGTTAAGAAAAAATGTGAACTCTCCCTTCTCCCCTTTTTTGTATCTCTAACAATCAATGGTATATTAAGCAGAAACAAATCATGATAAACAGCACAGAATCTAAAAAAGGGTCGAAGAACATCAATAAAAATCGACGTTTCACAAGACTTTAAAAATCACTTATTTCTTTTGGATTTGGAAATGTATATGGCTGCATAAGATTGGCAAAAAGCGTATCAGTGAATTCATTATCTAAATCATCTGCATCTGGGTGCTCGGCAGACGAGTTTTTCGGCATTGGATTTTGTACAGCTAATTGTGGGACGAAACTGATTTCGTGATTCCAACTGATACCCTAAATTTATTTCACTTACCAGTTTTAGATATTTTATTCAGTCCTTTTTCACTTATCTCTTTTTATTTCGTCATTATTTATATCAACAATTTTCTATGCTTAATCAATTTTTGACGTCTTAAACACGTTGTTTAATCATTCGCTTACTAATAACTAATGCACAGTATTGGAAGTCATTTGTTCATTTGAAATTCAAAAATAAAACGCAAAAATGCACGTCAACGTAGAAATTGTGTAAACAAATACCCTGCATACTCCTCTTTTTCGCGTTTTCAAATGACGCCATCGTTTATATTGAGCTTTCAACGCATCTATACTTCTCTTCCAATACATTCCTTCCACAACGGTACCCTAATATTGTTGATAAACTAGAATTTAAGCAAATAAAGAAAAATGGAAAGCTTTTTCTAATCTTTTAAAATATAATTAAATGAAGTTCATCGAAGATATCAGCATTGATAATAAGTTTCACCGGCTGATGTTTCACTATCTACAGCTTCACAGCTACCTAAAGAAAACTAAATAAATATTGAAACTAATAAATACCAAAATTTACCGTGAATTTAACATGTGTGGTATCATCGTCTGGTACAGTGAAATAACAATATGATGTTCTCTTTGATTTACCCTTATCAGGTCGTCGAACTACAATGGAAAAACACTTCAGTGTACAGTCAGCATAAGCATTAAAAAAATCATTCACTGGAAAATACTATTTTATAGCGTCAAAATTCTTACTTCCTCATTAGATATTGTTCAATGAATGAATTGTTCCAAATCATAATTTCAAACATTTAAGAAGGTATCTAATGAAATCTCTATGCACTATTCCTCCATTTTCGTCTTAATTAACCTGGTTTTCATATGTATCGTTTTTATAAAGTTATACAGAGTACAAAAATAAATTTCCCACTTTCTTCGCAGATAAACCACAACATAGTAAAATACGATATAAGCTCCCTCTCCACTTAACTCTGTTATGTTCAATAAACGGATAAATGTTATCTATAACGGAGGCTTACTTTCATAGATCAAAATATCTAGTGAGACAATTAATAATAATAGATGATAGACATACATTCCATATAATAAGCTCTCCAGATAACATTGTTTAAACGTATTCGTTGTTTCCAATGTAATCGTAATCCTTTGAAATCTTTCCATTTTGGTGTCGTCATTTTACTGTAACAAAATGATATCAAATTAATCGACTATATAATATATTACATTTTTACAATGATGGAATCGTTGTATACTGGAAAGACTACAAATCTATTATGGTGTCATTTCCAGAAAGAAGTTTCGAAAAATTTATCATTTGGTACATGCACTCCATTCCCAACTTGATTGAAGTAATTCTTCACGAGAGCACAAATTCTTCACGAGAAGCTTTCACATTACGTAATCGTTGTCATAGACACAATCATATTTTCGACAATAAAGTGAGAAAATATGAGAATTAATTTTAACTATCCATCTCCTTTTTTCCCTTTCTCATCAAAAGAAAATTTAATTAAACACACAAAGCCAAACTGCCTATTCAGGAGGGATAAAAGAAAGAGATGATATCACTAACATTTTAAAAGGAATCATTCTGGAACATAGCTCATCACATTTATGCGTAAAAGAATTAACTGACTTGCATGAAGTAATCATTAATAACCAGTGACTCGACGAAAAGATTAATGATTACTGATATCATTAAGTCAGTAACCTAAGTTAATCTGCTCCTTTATAACTGCTTGGTTAAGAAGTTTCACTGTCTTCAGCTTTAAATGAATAAATTTTTCAAAATATCTCACTTAAAAACTTTTCATTAGCTGCTTACCTAAGCACATTGTCACCGCTGAGTAGACAGAAGATTTACATGCTTGCTATAATCATCAATAAATTTCTCACAATACACTTCAGTAAATCAATTATTTTTAAAACATGCTTCCTAAAATTGCTCAAAAAAATGCAATGTATAAAAGCGGAAACTAATCAGAAGACACATCACAAATGATCGGGATTTACCACGCAAATGTATATCTATTATAACTCTAAGGAAACCCGATGTTTTAAATATTTAAATAAGTATACTTCAAAGAAAGAAACAAATATGGAGCATTAATAAGAAAAAGAGCCAACTTATAAGCCACTTTGATGCATTTGTTCAATTTATTCAAAGATACATCGATCGCTATAGACTGCGTCCTTTTTGGACCGAATTTGTAAAAAGTAACAGGCTTTTCATCCTAAAATAATTAAAAATTATTTTTGTTTTCAAAAAAAGAAACTACTGAAAAAATGATATAAATCACAAAAATGATAAAAATTATTTGTGGTTATTTTTAAAACTACGTTGAAATATAAAGAGCATAATCTGCATTTCTGAAAATTTAATTGGATGAGGCTTCATATTTTATATAGATGCAAAAGCTTAAAATATGCTTTAAAAGAAAATTTTCACACGAATTAATTACTTTCTTTTCCTTAATTAATTTCCTCCCTTTTAAATTACAGTATCCTCTTTTTCAAAAAAAAAAAATGACTGGCTGCTGAAATATCCTATTCGTCAACAGGAGTATGAAAAGGAAAATTAAGAGAATAAATTGTAGAATAAAGTATCAAGAAGAGGGAATATTTTTTTAACCAGATTTTAATCTATCAAAAAAATCGCATCTTGTCAGCTGTTCAACCATTTATTCTAACCTATAGAGTGCAGAGTGTTCCAAAAGACAAACCACAAGCACTAAAAATCAATATCAAACAATATCTTATAACAACAGTGAAACAAATTGTTATAAAGAAATGCGTAAACAGAATGCTGAACCGAAATTTCCGCTCTAATTCTGATATAAAAAACTGATGAGAACATTTACTCTGCAATGGTTTCCAAGGAATACTATAAAAACCATTAATAGGCTAAAAACACTCATCACCGGTTTTGATGTTAACGATATCAATCCAAATTAAAATGTTCGTCCGTGATATAAACATAAAAAAAACTTGCTTGAACATTCAAATCGCGTAAATCTTGAACCTTTTGCTCATCATCTTGCATATGCTCAACAACATCGTCCTCAACAACAACCTAGAAAAAGTATATGTATACATTAATTTCAAACAGAATACAATCCATATTTTCCGTTTATCGTCAATTATCTCTTGGTAGGAATTTCAGGTCTAGATAATAACAGAAAGATATCACCAAAATTTCTGGATTTTCCTAATATCACATAAATTAATGTAATTACTTTACTATTCAAAGATAGCTTAATCAAATAAACCGAACGGAAGAAATATAATATACTTAATGAAATTGTGCATTCGAAATTTGCTTGTTCTTTTTATTTAGTTTGCTTAAAAATTCATGTTCTTTTCCTTTTCTGAGAACAGAATACTGATAAAATTTTGTTTAAAAAAAAAACCATACTTAAAGACATTTATCAAAGTGAAAAAAATTTAAGCTACACTTAAAAATATTTAACAACATAAAAAAACTTGATGAAATCAAAGAAAATGCACCTAACAGATCCAGATAAAAATGATATATAAACCTAAGGAAATGGTTACCGCAATAGGTTAATCAGTCATCTATCTAATATGGCATTAACCAGCTGATAACACAAAAACCATTATTTCTAATATAGCTGTCAATCATTAATCTGCTTCATATCCAATCAAATTTTAATAAAATGAAAACAATACGGAATAATTATATGGATAATAAACTAACAGCAATCACATAAAGATTTTATCTTTCAGATGTGATTATTAGATCGATTATGTTCACTTTTGTCGTCAGTTTTTATTACCGAATCAATATTTACGTTTTTAGATAAAATGACTGCACTAATATCACCATAATTTAATATCTTTTACATCACTATAAAAAAAAAAGAAACACAACGAACTCCAACAACATCCTCATCAGGTAGTAATTCATCACTATGCGGATTAGATGTCATGAAATGACCGCTATGAATTGGTTCTTGAGATGATGATTTTGATGTCATTTTATTCATTGAACGATAGATATTCTCGTTAGCACAAGTTAAATTGATGCACAAACCGAACGTTTTCTTCCTAAAAAAAACCAAGAATGGATATTGTAAGCTTATAATTCGAATCTTCATACGTATGACAAAACGTTGAAATAACTTTCACGATATAAAAAAATTAATGTTAAAACAGGTGCATATAGGTATATATAGCATTGAGGTAAACAAAAAATCTATTTTAACAAGAAATCAACAAATGCAAGAGTTTTCTGAAATTAAGTGATCAAATAACTCTAGCAATGATTCTCTCGTATGAGTATGTTATTTCGTTTTCTTTTTTCAAGCTGTTTAGAATAGAAACATTTCCTTTTTGCTTTTTATGAAGGAAAGGTAAAACTACACTTTCATACCAAAAATAATTTGTGACTTTTTGATTATCAATTCAATCATCGTTTTAATATGGAAATATTTTCAAGCTGAAAACATTAATGTTTTTTTTTAGAGAAAATGGCAATACATACCGATCGCACTCTATTCTTATATTATGAAATTTTCAAAGCATGAGTGGAACTATTAAATAGAATATAATGAAATTCAAATATCTACCGGTAATAATGGCTATATAAAATGACGGGAAAAGAAAGAGGAAAAACGGAGATTTTAAATAAGCTGAGAAAAAAAGGGAAAAAAACTTTACCTATTTCCTAAATATAGCTGAAATTAAAATTTTACTAAAATACATTTTAAAACAAATGTCATTTCAAGAAGATAATATTTTTCGTGATAGCAATATGATACTACATCAAAATTTTGCAATACAATGGTTAAGGTGTTAAAATGAAAAATCAATCAATAATGTGATGTTTTTGTTATATGATAAATAATCAAATGATAATGACAAAAAAAGAACTGATTAAAAATAGCAAACATAACAAATGGATTATTCTGATAAGAATGAACCTAACAAATATGATGTTGAATACTAATTAAATAAAAAGTTAAATTAATAGGTAAAAGAAGTGAAGAAAAATGCTAATGAAATGATTGGTTGAAGGAGAAGAAATAAGGAATCGTTTATGTGATGATGATACGATCATTAATTAATAGGACAGGGTGAAATGTATGACGAAATTACGAAATGAAGAAATTGCAATAATGTAAGCATATAAAATTGTCTTTCTTTTTTAAAACTCTTCCGCATTGATCATTATTATTGCCAGCTTTTATTATTATTGATATATGGATAACATAAGTTATTATGACTAAATTCTTTATAATTCATTTAAAAATAGAAAAAGTTCATAATGCATATCTTTTAAATTTCTATATTAAATTAAAATTTTAAGCATTTCTCTTAACAATTCCATTATTCTCCTTTCACTTATAATGTTTAACATTTATTAATCTGTCAACAATTCTTCTCTCATCATTATAATAATGATATATCGAAGAATTCTTTTATCACGTCATATATTTAAAGTGAACAGTAATTTCTTTTCATATGAAAATATGAATTCATAAAAAATAACTCACATACGTTTTTCCAATAATTAATTGATGACTTACTGATTTATAATTAATATTTAATATTTATTAATTACCAGAAAAAGATAATTCATTAAATACACTCAATGCACTTCATATATTGTGAAGTTTTGTTCATCCTCAAAAAGCTAATTTTTGAAAACTTTGATTCACATACTCTAATCTCAACAAACCCGTATAATGATTTTTTTTCCTTGACCCAGAAATCGAATACATCTGTGACACTATTGCGAAGCCTATGCGAAATCTTTTACTTACATGATCAGCATATTGATGCTATAAATTTCATTCGAAATTTTTTAAATCATCTTTCATTTTTAGAATTCATCCCACTAATAATGTAAAAGACAACTTATAAACTTTTCGTTATTTGATAGTAGGATGTTCCCCGAATAAAAAGTTGCAACTTTCCTTCACAAATATACTTTACTATTTCAAAAAAGGGACCTGCAAAACTTTTCGTTATTTGAAAGTAGTAGAATGTCCCCCGTATAGGAAGTTGTAATTTTCCTTCACAAATATACTTCATTATTCCAAAATGATCTGAAAAAGGAACCTGCAAACTTTCCGTTATTTGAAAGTAGTAAATGTTCCTTGTACAAAAAGTTGCAACTTCCCTTCACAAATATACTTCATTATTCCAAAATAATCTAAAAAAGGAGAAGCGAAAAAAAATTAGTTGAATTCAGGGAAGAATAAGAAAAACAATCTTTTCTTGATGAATATAACAATACATTTCCCGGTTATTACCAATAAAACAATGGAACATATATATATATATTCCACAGCTAAAAAGTCAATTCTTCATTAACTTACAACAAAATTTATACCAGTCTCTTTTATCCACTATATTGAAAATTACATTCATTGAATAAGCTATCACTAAAGGAAATCATCGAATTGTAAATTTCCTTCGTATTTTTGACTTCAGCAATGAAAAAACGATATGCACCTACTAGCATGTTTTGAAAATGCGATAACTTCTGCATTGTACAAAAACTTGCAATCTTTTTTAAAGGAAGTGCAGGATGATTTTTGTATGATGCATAATTCGCTCTTTGTTATTTAATTTGTAATATGCAATAAAATATACAATAGAATTTTTTATGTTTAATAAATCATAATGATGAATAACGTAAGCACATCTGTCAACAATTATTTTCAGCAAAAATCACTCTTTGATCAGTTTGATTATTACATTCGATTACAACCAATCATTTGTCCTCAATCAATACATACTACCTTTGAGAATCAAAAAAAGAAAAAAATTATAATTAAAAGAGTTTTGCTGTCTCAGAAAATAACTGATATCCAGGTGAACTGTGATCTTTACAAAAAATTATTACAACCAGTACCACTACTATCACATATGCTAAATTTAATCGATGAATCGTAAATAATTGCGAAAACTTTTAAACAACATTGAATGGCAAAACTCACTTGTTGACAAGAGATTTGTAAAGCAATATGTTCGACGTCAGTGATGAAAATCAGTTATCAAAATCATTATTTTTCTATTTTCTTTTTCCCCCTCATTCACTTTCTTCTATGCTACTTTTTTTAAAAACGTTAGCCATATTTCCTCTTCTCAGTTAGAAATATTAATCCATTTAAACTGACTTACTTTCCAATCAACAAAAATCATTTCTGATTGCACTGAGTGAGAAAAATTTTCAAACATTGAAATGCGTAACTTGTGCTAATGAGCTTATCATGATGAAAGTAGAAATATCATCGAGCAATGGTAGAAATTTAACGATTTTTTTTCGGCTAGACAAAAGTACCTTTGCGACACTTATAATGCTTCGAATACGTAGATGTAACTATACACTCACATGTAAATATATTTAAATATACATGAAGATACAAAAAATATGGACGTTTACACACACACACACACACACACACACACACACACACAGGGGGAATGATATAAAATAAAATTAAATACCTGAAGCGTAGACACACACACACATACACACACAAGGGAATGATATTATAAAAATAAAATTAAGCACCTGAAAAAAGGGAGAAGTAAAAAGCTCGAAATGAAGAAGAAATGGTATAATTCAAAGATCGGCGTTATTCAACAGAGCAGAAAAAGAGACTACTGCTCATTTGTCGTACAATGTAGCATTTCGCATTTTCACACTGTCAAAAATATTACACAAAAAGATCAATCCCATTTTGCACCAAAACATCCCGTATCTTTTGATACTATTTATTTGTTCGATCAAAAAAACATATGTTGTTATTGTAGAAAAAATTAAAAAAATATAATTAAATTTTCCTCAGCAATCACAATGACTTGTGTAATATATTAACAGCTACGCTGTTATGATATATTACAAATAATCTTATTAGCAGTTTAGCATTTTATCGTTAATTACAACCAAAAATACGCATCGGATCAATCATCACAATCAATCATCAAATCAATCATCATAATCAAAATATCTGAAAAGCACCATAGCTTCCCACAAAAACCTTCAATAAAATGCCATCATAACAGACCTATCCGAAACTTTATTTTGCCCATCACAGAAAAAAAACCGAATAAAGTCGAAAACATGACGACCGGAACTGCTCATCGACCGGAACTGCTCATCAGTAAAATGATCACAACATCGGCGATCACAACATCGGTCCAATTTTTATTCCGATCATGCAAGATGGATGAAATAGTTGCATCCCACCGAAAGAAAAAAAACATTCCTTCATTTCGAAAGTGGTAAGGAAAGTGGAGATGAAAGTGATAGGGAGGATGTAACCTCTATGATAATCATCTGAACAAGCACGAATTAAATTACGAGGAAGAAATATTTTATACCTAAGTTCTCGAAATTTGATTTTGACAAAACCTTGGAAGCGAAAAGTATGAGATCTGTGGAAATTTAACCGTTTTGAGAGTTGAATAGCAGAGAATTTGAGGGATGCGTTTGCCTTTGGATGTGTAGCTATATTAAGAATCTGAGTAAAGTATCGAATATTTATTAGCAAAAAAGTTATAGCATACTTAAATATTGAAACGGTGAGCAAAAAATGCTGTGGGAATCAGACAAGTATCGAAATAACTGTAAACTTCTGAAGTTTACAGTAATCGTTAAAGAATTGGAAGGAGAATTTATGAATGAATGATAAGTGGAATAATGGAGGCCATGAAAACAGGTACTGAGTATGATACAAAGAAATATCAACAGGTGTCATAAATGATATAAGGAGGCATCAGTAGATACCATCTAAGGTATAAGGAGATATCAACAGGTATCAAATATCATACAAAGAAATATCAACAGATATCAAGTATGGTACAAGTAAATACGGATAGTTAGTCAGATGATACAAGGAGGTACTAGTAGATATCTAGTATAAGTAAATGGCAACATGTATGAGCTATGATACAAGAAAATACCAACATGAACATTATTAACATTCATAATGTTCAAGATTATTTACCTTCTTTTGAAGGTAACATGATGAATGTTAATAAGTGATAAAATTATCCATAATCACAATTTCACGACAAATTGAAACATCACCGATTTAAACAAGCGCTAGCAAAGTCATGGTAAATTGAAATATTGGTGGCTTATGGAAAAAGAATTTTACGAAGAATGCCGGAAATAGAGGCAAGGTTTGGAATTTAAAACTGTCAAAATGATAAAAATACTTACAACATTTGAATGATTTATAACAATCGAATAAGTTAAGAACAGTTCAGTAAGTTTAAAACTATCCGAAATACACGGTCGACAATTTTCTAAATTTCAAACCATATGAAAAAAAGTCGGGAATTAGATATGCAATTCTGTTCCGAAAATTTCATAATTGTAATGAACTTACACAAAAATATACATCACGCATATATCAACATTTGCTATTCGCTAAGATAAAATTTTCTACATATTCAATAATAATGGGAAACCATATTCCAAATTAGCTTCAGCTAATATTTTCTTCAATTCTGCCAGATATTTCGTATGTGGAAATTGAATTTCACGAAATTTTCCAAGTCGTAGAAATGATGGATCACTTTGCTCTTCACAATAACGTAACACAATATGTTGCCAGTTCAGGCCACGAATTTCTTTCCAAAATTTATCACAATCAATTCGGCTACCTTCCAAAATAATAACGCCTGGTTTTCCGGTACAAAAAAATCCATCTAACTGATACAGTGCTGCTGTATTCTTGATCATGCGTATTTTCATTTTGTTTCGAATATGATGTGAATAGATCCAAAATCGCGCATATTTGGTGTTGTTTGTTGCTTTTATATCATCCACCGTCTCTTTCTCATTCTTCTTCTTCTATAAGTTTTTGTTTATTTTAAATTAAAAAAATAATTTCAAATTAATTGACTTCAAATGTATGAATTGATTTTCAGCTAATAAATATTATTTGAAACTATATTGAAATTCTTGTCTTTTAGCTTAAAAGTTCAATGGAAAAAAACTTCACAAAAATTTCAGAGAGAGAAAACTCCGTAAAATGTTCGATGAATTTATTGTTGGAAAGAAAATAAACAAAAATAAACAGCTGTTACTTAAAATTTAAATGGATTGTTTGTAATGCAAAGCATTATTTCGTATAACAACTGTCAAATTTCATAGATGATAATACGAGTAAGTGATGTAATATTAGTAGCTGACATCTTAGGAGAGAAGGCAGGCCTAGAACTATTATGTTAAGATATGAAAAGGCTTTAAATAAATGTTCATCGAAGCTATAAAGTGATTGCTATAACCTAAAATTAATGGTGTGTTTGGTAAGTTGTAGAAATTTAGAGTATAGAAGAAAGCTTAGACTACCTGTTTGGTAAGTTGTGGAAACTTAGAGTATAGAAGAAAGCTTAGAGAAAATTTTCAGTTGCTTTAAAAGCTTTCTTCTATACTCTGAGTTTCCACAACTTACCAAACACACCATTAGTTTTGGGTTGTACAGTCACTTTAAAGCTTCGCTGAATACCGTTTAGGCTTTTCTATATTTCAACATAATTCGTTTTAGGCCTGCCTTCTCTCCTAAGATGTCGATATGATTGGACATATATTCCATAGCTAGTCATAACATCGTAATTAAACACCTGAAAAATATGTGATTCAGTAAAAGATAAGCAATAATTTATTTTATGCAACGCGTGAAATGCGATGATTTTTAGAATTATCATTTGAAACTGAACCTTGAAACGACTAATATTATCACTGATCCATTGCACAATAGCCAATATAAGAGGTACACTGAGTGTTTCCTGATCAATGAAATATCGGAGTTCTTGATTGAACAAGTTACAATTGATCAATGAACAACGAATAAACGCAGAAGGTTTCAGTATAATAGGATATTCATTACTCAAGTGTATTACAACTTCATAATTGATACCATCAACCTGCTAAAATATAAATTGCTTTAAATTTAGATTTCATTATGAGGATGAATTCTATCTTAATTCATGACCAAGACAAAAAAAGAAGAGAAACTGATGTTTTTTTCATCCTCAAGAAGTACCGGATGTTTTGTACCTGACGCAAAATTAGCTGTGTGACTTGGCCATTTTCTGTTGGATCTTGAGATTCATTTATTTCTAATTCTTCCATCGTATACATTCCTTTCAGGAGGCCTAATTCATCTAACAATAATCGCCTGCACGTTTCATTTTTATCATCCATTTATAATAGAAAAAACAACAATTAAAATTTATTGCTTCTCGTAATTTCAAAACTAATTCCGTCTAGCTTTTAATGGCTTCCAGTTCACATGTATTTTGCTGCAAAAAAATTTATGTAACTTCTTATTTTACTATGTTCCACTGAATTCAAAAGAAATTTTGTCCCGCAATAATTAATAGCCTTCCCAGGTGTTTCAAAGTATTTGATTATGTCCGTTCAAACAATGGAAACTAATCAAAAGATTGTAAGGTACAAACTCCAATTTTATTGTACGTTAGCTTCATGATTAATCTAATCGGCAACTAAATCTTTCTAGTAGAAAATGGAATCCGATTATACCATAACTCCCTATAGCATAGGTATTGTAATCAAACAATAACGAGCAGATCATTAGTTTATTAAAGAAATTAACTTATCAACAAACATGGAAATATTCAGAACCTGTAACAGATGATAACAAAATTAAGTGTGAAATAAACATATGGAATGAATGAACTGAGGCATTTGTTAAGAATCAGAAAAACAATTACAATGCACTAAGCAGCAACAAGGACATTCTGCATAGACGAGAAATAAACAATCTATAACCTGAATATATTAAAGTTCCATTAATGGAATAACAAATGGCATACATGAAGTGAAACATTTTAATCAAACAAGCACCTTTTTATGGGAAAAAGAAATGCATATGAATATCATGTCACTAACTTTATTAAAGTCGATAAAAATTTTTTGGTCCATTTATCAGGTCAACTTCATCTCGAAAACCATGGAAGATATGTAAGTTCAAATTTTCAAGACTTGGACTTTGTTATTTCTAAGTATCAGCCTCAAAACAGATTTCAAGGCGATCAATTCAAATACAGAATCAACATTACGAATCGAAGTTAGCACAAGAAACTGATGCAGTAGCAAATTAAAACTTCCCAAAAAAATATATGAATTTCTGAGAAGTTTTTAGAATAAATGGTTGTAAAATGAAGCAATTTATAGTTTTATTTTTTTGATCTTGAAGATCTCAAAGAATCCTACAAATCCTTTTTCGTTTCCTCAGAATAAATTTGAAAGTAGTAAGCAAAATATACACATTCATGAAAAGGTTTTTTCATAAGAACCTTTTGATGAATATGTATATTTTGCTTATTACTTTCAAGAGACATTAGCTGTAATACTTAGAGGATTTCAAAACCAAAAGATTGGAGGAAAACAAAAACTGTAATCTGCTACGAAATTTCAAACTTCTACGGGAAAAATTAAGATTGTATACTTGAAACTCTGGAAATTTTTGCCAACTGAAGTAATGACGATATCTAAATTGGCTTAAAGAGATATTTTATGTTCTTACGAGTTGTTCCGGAACATCGGACCTAATAAGTGATACGATAAATGGAACAAGAGCAATTACAAGCAACAAATTCAAAGTCATCGAAGCAATAAAAACATTACGCCATATGTCATAACGATATTCACAGGGTAACGGACAAGTGAAATGTGGTATTTCTGCTTCGATCGTTTCAGTCCCTTTCTCTACGTTGTCTATCAGAACATCAACTACAGTAGCAATCTGAAATAGTTTAGCATGTGCTATTATTTAAAAAATTTGACAAATTTGATTTTTTAAAACCATACAGACATACTCAACATATAGCTTCCTTTTTTTTCGGATATATGCTATCAGGAATATCCAATTACAAAAACTGCTGAGGATAAGCTTCCTGAAGGAATATAATACTAATCATAAAAATATTCTAACTAATCCATCTGTCATGGTGTCGACTAATTCCGGGGACTTATAAATCATAATATCCATACCATTTAGCGCGAAAGTAATACAAAAAGGGAAGAAATTTTTTGCTATTACCATCTCTCTTTCGTAAAAATGATTGCAAAATTTTTTAAATACGAAAGACAAAGTAGCCCGTTGTCTTTTTTTCACCTTTAACATTTACTTATGCTTGCGGATAAGGACTGTGAAATCTAAGTATACTGCGATGCAGGTCACATAAAACTGCTGGTAGTAAGTGATGTCCATCAATAGTCTTGCCGAAACTTTGAAACAATATAAAAAATGGAAGTATAAAAGGAAAAAAGGGAACTTACTGTCTCTTCATCGATTACATCTTCTGGTTCTAACTGTGCTGAAAGTTTCGCGATCACTTCTTCCTTTGTTTGCGTATAATTACGATGGCCATATTTACTATGCCATTTATACCACTGATCTACAATAATAATTGATTCCTTTTGTGCAATGACGATTCTCATTTTATGCAAAAATAAGGGAAAGAAGCATGCACAAGCCTCGAATCTCAGATAATTAAGAGGATATCATTCGGGCCTTTTTTCGGCTCGCCCTTGTGCTATTCTTACTTTCCTTAGCCCTCTTCATACCTCAAAAGTCTTTTGTGAAAATGTTATAAAGATTTTGAAAAATATAACCAATATGCATTTGAACTGCAATAAAATGCTTCATTTGTGCCAGTAGAAGACGTTCGTAAAATTCCAATGACCTAGTTAAGCACGTCAGATCGCTGTCGTGAGGAGAACAATGGCTCCTAAACAATATTTATTAGAAAACTTTTGATAAATTCAAATAAAACTCCTTTAAATTAAAATGAGTCAATATGCCTCCTCATTCAGTGATTTTATCGTAAATAATACTTTAATTAACTTAATCTTAACCTCAACAAATCTTATTTCCGTGTTTTCAAATATGTAAGCAGTAATTGCTTAAAACTGGAAAAGAGTTTAGGAATTTTTCTTTAATTGAAAAATCATCATATTGAATTTTGATGTTAATGAAGAAAATCAAAAGAACAAACTTACGAGCAACCCCTAACGGTCGCATTATCACCCGTCTCGAAAGTTTGCGCTTGTGTATAAGCCAAATATAACAAAAGAAACAAAGTAACCAACTTTAACATCGACGTTTGTTAATCTGTGTAGTATAAAATCAAAGAAATTCCAGCCGTCTGAAAAGAATATCATAATCTTAAATAATTTAACATTTGAGCATACAAGCAGACCGAATCTATGACTCGAGCAATAAAACTCGATTCGCAAGCTATCTTGTCCTTCTCTTCCTCCGACAACATTATATCCGCATGCCAGTAGTAAGACCATAGTGGAAAATCTTCTGAGAAAAATCCCTGCAAGTTATTGGTTAGTTAACAACAAGCCACTCTAATCACTGACCACTTCGGAAATTATGAGAGATTACCTTTTCGTTATAAAATGAACGAAAAAATCACGTTTTTAAGAAGTTCAAACCCTTGCAAACAGTACCTCCTGCCAAATCTGAACTGCATTCTTTAATCCAGGAATCCATACGGAAACAAAAAAAATTCTTTTTATTCAAGTATGATAACTTGCGCTAATGGGTAAAATATTAATCATGAAATAATGAATTCATAATTTTGGGAAGTAAAAAACCTATGGCTTAGTGACTATCTTCACTAATTCCATTTTTCTTTTCGTGAATTAAAAAGTTCCAAGTTTTTACAAAGGTTTAGAAAATATTCACAGTGGCATTCACAGTTCGTGGTGATGATAAAGGTATATTGATCATTTCTGGAATTGCATCGCTTCCACCGATACATCATTCTTTCGAAACTTCCATACCGTTGTAACGTTCCGGTAATGATTAGATGAAAGAAGTGACCGAAATAATGTATAAATAATTAAGATGACTGACTGAAAGTCCACTTGAATAATTAAAGCAACCGAAACAAATATACTAATTGAATCTACAAAAACATGTATATAATAATGAGCAAAATCCAAAATCAATAAATCTTTTCTTTAATATTTTTTATTCAAAAAAAGATTAAAAATCGAGTCCTAAAATCATTTTTTAATTGGTCAAATGACTGACTGTAACAATAATAAAATAATAATACATAGATTTATAATACGTAGATTTAGATAACGAAAAGATAGTTTAAATCTCAAATATTACCTATTTTATCTTATAACGTTCACATGAAAAAACACTGCAATGTACAGGCTAAGATCTTTAATATTAATGGACACATTACACGAGCACGAACATGAAAAGTACAAGGTAATAAATATTCTCAGACTTAAAATGACGATGAAGCAACTGAAAAAATATTGAGACAAATAAGGACTGATTGAGTGTCGAAAAATAATATTTGATTCTTTTCAGTTCGAATAATTTTAATAGCAGTGGTGTCACTGACAGCGTATCAGCATAAATGTTTATCGAATTTACATAGGGACATGTGAGAAAAGATAGGACACTGATTCTCCATTATGGGTACGTCGAATTGCTTCGGCCAAAATCATCGAGATGTCAATACACTGCAAAACACAATGGTCACTAAGGATAACTCATTACTCCATGGATAACAAGTATATTATATTAAAAGTGATTCAATTATACCTAAATAAGAATGGTCGTCAAGATTCTTCACACACTAACGGACATGATTAGCGATATTTCTAGAGGAGGAGCACAAATCTGATTCTTATAATAAACATCCATGATTGACCGTTACTCAAATAACGGCCAAATATAACTGTTTTTTGTGCACTTATTCATTATGAAGTTAATGGATCGTAGCATTTATCCATAACTTCAGACACTCAGTTGTCTACCAAGTATCTTATCAGTCCTGTAAATGTGCAAAAAATTATGGAGTCACTCTAGGAAAAATTATCTAGTGCTAAATCATAGATAGTAAAATAAGAAATACGTTAGAAATAACTATGGCGTTCCACTTTTAGCCTTGCAACGATAATCAACGCGAAATAACAAAAATTCAGAATGCAATTTAACAAATTACAGAGCTAACAGCTTGCTTTCACTTCTTTACACTGAAAACTACACTTATGGAACAGTGCCGTTTGAAATTTTCATGTTAATCAAAAAATTTTGCAAAATCTTGGCAAATGATAAGGGAGCAATTATCAAAAGTTGAAATGCCTGAATTTTTGAACATTTTTTCATATTCTGTTCTTGTGGTATTGTATTTGTAACAACCACTGCCTCAAACATTGAATTGTTCAGCCTTTGTATAGCAGGTCCTGAGAAAATCCCGTGTACGCAAAATGCATACACTGCACTTGCTCCTGCTTCAACTAACCTGAAAGAAACAAGTAATTTATAATTAAAATCATTTGTAAATTCCTTTCTCAAATTTAAAATAAAGTTAGCACTTAGCATTTAATAAAAAACTAGGAATAACGCAGCAAACATCATGAAATTTTTTTTGCTTTTATTAATTTTTAGCAGCAAAATCTAGTTGCATACACAATCGCGGGCTATGATAAAACAAAAGAATGAGAAATCCGACATCGATAAAGCATTATGGTTGCTCTCACTAGAAATTCATAATAGTCACGAAAAAATTTCCATGCAGCTTCAGCTGCGCATCTCTCCAAAACCTTGATTCAGATGCTATATAGGGAAGATAAGTATAAAGGACTAAAGAATATCTGAATATTGACATATTCACCGAAAACCATAAGTAAATAATCATTCTGATAGATAATTAAAGCTACGAGATAGAACCATTGAAAGCAAAAGGATAACTGAGAAATCGATGGTCATTTTGACTATCCAGCAATCTATGGAAGAATTGTACTAAATAAATGAATTAGTCACAACTATTTGTACTTACTTTTCAGCAGCAAGGCAGATCGTTCCACATGTATCTGCCATATCATCAACTAATAAAGCAACCTGAAAAAGCATCAAAATTGAAAATTCAGCATAGCTACTATTCTATTTATAAATTTAAATCTGTTACAAACACGAAGGACAATTGAATGAGCTTACTCTGTCACGAACGTTACCAACAAGTGTCATCTTTTCCACTTCATTGGCTCTTTTTCGTTCTTTGTGAATCAATGCGAAATCGACATTTAAGCGATCAGCAATTGAGGTTACTCTACAATAAAGAAATAACGAATTCGGATATTTATATCTATTTTGAAAGACTAGGCTGCAATAATACTTTATGAGTATGAGAAAGAATATGTTAACAGATATCTAACAAATCAAATCCAGTCCTATATAATACCGTTTCGCGCCACCAGCATCTGGTGATACAATGACTGCTTCTTGCCAATTTGGTATTGACTCTTTAATATATTTTAGGATCGCCGGCTCTGCATATAGATTATCAACGGGGATATCAAAGAAGCCCTGAAGAATTTTACAGCAATCATTATTCAAAACCATTTTAATTACAACCACAAAAGAATACTGATCTCCATTTCAAAAAAGATCATCTTTAGTTCAGCTTCATCACTTGTCATATAAATATACAAGACTGTCAGAATAAACCTGTATTTGAGAAGCATGTAAGTCCATTGTAATAATATGATCTGCTCCTGCTACGGATAGCATATTTGCAACCAGTTTGGCACTAATTGGAGCACGAGATTTATCCTGAACGCAAACAAGAGATTTAATCCAACAGAAGCATAAGAGAAAATGAAATTGCAACTTCGTTTTCTGGTTTCGAAATGAAAAATTGTGAAATCAAACCGTTCGAAATCCATCAAAATCAATCCCTTCATCTACAACTACTCTTTAAATTACTGGATCGCTCAGTAAACTATTTCCATAGATACTTTTGCAACTATGGGCGCTACATGTTATGTTATGAAAAAAGTTTATAAAAGTTCTGACTAACAAGTAAAATTGCGAATTTAATACCTACAGATAATTTAATATATTCACCTTTTTATCTTGGCGAGCATAAGGAAAGCATGGAATGACTGCAGCTACGCGAGATGATGAAGAAATTTTACAAGCATTTATCATTATCAATAGCTCCATTAAATGGTCATTTATTTCACCACATCCACTTTGAATTATATAAACATCTTCCCCACGTACACTTTCACCTATTTCAACATTGGTCTCCTGAAGCAAAAAAAGGAAAAGTAAAAGCAAGTCGATAATAAACTTAATGTGGCCACTGACAGGAAAATATACTTTCAGTAGCAAAAAATATACTGCTGAAAGAAGATATACTTTCCAAAATGATAATTAATGAAGCATAATAAGCATTTTACGCTGACAAATGCATATCGTAGAAGATAAGGATCAGCTCGAACATCTTTTCCATTAATTTGCTAGCGTTTAGTTAGGGTAATATGCGTATTATGCTTTATTAATTAAGCATTAACAAGAAACGTATTGTTTCGAAAATCACCTTATTACTGAATTTTTTAAGTGATGCCTTAGCAACATCCAACTGGAGTCGTTCACAAATCCTCTCTGATAAATCTCGATGTGAGGAACCAGAAAATACCTGAAATATATCCATTATAAAAAATCGTTGATACAGCAATATCCATTTAATAATAATTTTTATTTCAATATCAATTACATATGTGCATGAATGCATAAATAGAGCATGTGTTTTCATGTAAAGAGATAGTAAGGGCAAGATAAAGTTGATGAAAAGGAAGATGATACCTTGATATTTGGCATTCTTTTTGCGTTCGCAAGCTGCTGCCGTAGCTGCTGCTCAGTAAACAAATGATCGTTGTCTTTTTCAATGGTTGCGGGACTACTCTGAAACTGAGAGAAAATTTTAGGTAAAATTTTCGAATGATTATGGGAAGAAATCTGAGCAGAAAATTAAAACGTTTAAAATACAAAAAATCAAGTTTTTCAACAAATAATTTGAATGGATTGATTACTGTTTGATCAAAGTACCGAAAAAAAACGCCTCCAAATACTAAAATTAAAACAATTCAGTGTGGAATTAAACTGCACATGATTTAAGTATTTTAAAAATTTCTGATTAAAACCATAAAAAAATCTTATATATATATATATAAAATGCTTACAACTCTAATCTTCCTAAAGCTCAAAATCAGTAATCAATTCTAAACATTATTTCTAAACAAACAATTTACATTCATACAGAATGAATGCAAAAATCTGGATAAAAGTTGGAAATGACTACCACTCATTAAACGAAAACCTTCTCAACAAATTCAATATTCCAATTGAATTCTAAATTAATCCAACTAACAGCGACTACTCGTAATCCCCCCGGAAATCCCTGGATTTCATCTTTACACACTCCCAAACGAAAAACCTAATAAG